CTCGTGGGCACACTGTGTGTTGGTAAAGGAGACCATTGCAACCACTTCGCACCATACCATTGCATCAATACCCAGAGTAAGTCAAGTAGCCACAGAAAAGCTGACATTGAGTTGTGCTAACAGAACCTCTGAGAAGACATTTAAAATGAATTTGGTTTTACTTAAACTGATGGTTTACTAAATTCACACTATTGGCTTAACTTGGTAGCAAAATGGTAAATAAGAAATCGAAACGATCTCTATTTCAGATATTTTTGATCTCTATTATCCCTATAATACCACAAACTTTGTCGCACTTTTTTTTGTTTATTGCCTAATTTAATTTCTCAGAAGAAAAACTACCTATTGATATGGAAGTGAAATTTGGTACGAATATTTCAATGTAATCCTTCGACTTAAATCAAATTTAACATTCGATTGTGTTCTAATTACATGGCTGGAAATTCAATAATGATCCGTGATCGTATCTAATGGTAGATAAATTACATTAGCAACGAATCGAAATTCCTCATGTCTCATGGACATAAAAACATCGCATGCTATGGACTCTATTCGTATTTGATGCGGAATATTACAGAACATCAATATTACACGATTAACCATCATGCAAACTTTAGTCTCAAGCTCAATGATTTAAGCAGTCATGACATGTAAGCAGTAAAAAGCAGAATCATCGTCTCCTCAAGTTATTGGTTAGTAGAGTGAGTACCAACCGTTGCAAACTAGATTTGGGGTTGGGTTGATGAGCAAACTTGCTGCCAAGGTCCAGGAATCAGGATCACCGAGCGTCCGGGCAATATGTACCATAAATAACTCGAGGAGTCGTTTAATCTTCCCTTTACTGCACACTTAGAATAGAAATTAATGAAAACAGTAAAAAAATGAAGGATTAATAATTGTTAAACCCATCTTATCATACTACCTTAGAAGAAACCTGCTAATCTATTGAGTCTGTGATACTTAGATCTGTATTTAAATCCTGTACAGACGTACTTGACATAACGTTTGTTGTGTTTGATTGTAGCACATTTGTCCGTTAATAGTTTGCCATGCCTCCGGGAGTAATGCAGATTTTTTGTTAATTTTGTCGCCAGCAGAAAAGACTTATCTACCTCCGGTATCTTGCACACAGAAAGTAGTAGGATTATAATGAGGGTAGAAGTATGTGATATTTAGTGTACTCACTAGATGAGCCTACTCAACCTACACCACGACTTGGATCAGCTTTGAGAGCTATTGTTATTGAAATAAAGGACCTTATCACAATAGCAATATATAACCGAATTGAAGAGCCAAGTGTATAGTAGTGGTAGGAGCCAGGAGGGTGTATTGTTGAGCATGATGCGGAGCTTTGTAAAGACCCCTTATTGTTTCAAATATAATCTGTGGCCAATTACCATCAAATCGTCTACTTATTCGTGTTACCCATTGAAAATGTCCTGTGTCTACCTTTTTCACAGAATCAGTAAATAAAATTATGATGGATGGCCACCAGTTGCCAGTTAGCTTGATATAATTTTAAAGGCAGATGTTTTTGGAGAATTATCCCTGTGATTAGTCACGTTGTGGTCAGTCGACTTCAGAGGATTTTTGTTGGCAAAAATTAGGCACAATTTAAAGATTTAAAGATGTAATTGACATGATAAGAGAGATAAGATCATGATGATGTAAATAATGTGACAATTTTGACAACTCGTTTATTTTTTATTGAGAAAAATATTAGTCTTATTATTGATTCGTAGTAATTGATATTAACGTGCACGCACTGTTTCGAGAAAAAGACTTTGTCATAGCACGTGACACGTCCCATTCATTCAGGCTGTAAACTTGATGATGTAAATAATGTGACAATTTTGACAACTCGTTTATTTTTTATTGAGAAAATGTTAAAACTTAAAATTTAGATTTATTGGGTCTAATGTCAGTGAGAGCCGTGCTAGTACACCACATTTAACATACTCACCACCTAGTGTAACGTCATGGATCACAGTGCACAGAGAATAGTCTATTCATGTTTTTATTTTACATAATTTTCCATGGCTGCAATGTATTTTAGTCGAGCAGAGATTAAACAGCTCTCAGGTAATACACATTTAGGAGTTAGGTTTTACAGTTTTACAGTTTACACCCAGTTAAAATCAAAGTGGTCTTATCACCCTGTCTGGCCTCACAGTGTACATACATTGTAATATGTGTGTATATACATTGTAAAGTATTATATGTTAAGTGTAGGTTAGTTAACGAGATAAGCTCATAATTTCGTGCACACGAGGTGTGCTTGAAGTTGTATTCAATCTGTCAGCTAATGTATCATAATAGTGTAATAGATGCACAATGTGAGTAGTTCGCTGCTCAACAGCATCTTTAATGATTACTGTCAATGTTTAATTTTAAGACAGACGGTTTCTGGATAAATTTCAGTGACATAAGCTTTCAAATGACATCAAATGTTTCTTATCGAATGTCTCAGCGATTGGGACACAATTTTTGCGACAATAAGACTACCTTATACGGTAAAACTCCGATTTACCGCGAAAATAACTATGGAGCACTCATTATTAAACTAACTTCAAGTCGATGGTTTGTGAAACATAGGATATACGTTTACAATATACAGTGGACGTTTGTGTACATGAAGCTATCATCCCATATTAGACTAGGCTAGGCCCCCATTGAGGTTGCTGACAGCTGCTTAGTAATATTTGATATTTTAACTGGAAGGAAGTTTTATAACACACCCGGTCTCTTGAAATGTGCTTCCTCGGCTTGTTAATATATAATGGTGATTTTAATTTTAGTTACATTTTAAATATGTCTGCCGATTCTCCTAAACGTTAGTCGTTATAGTTTGGAGATTGATTTCGATTAATTTCGCCTATACTAGGTTAAAATATAAAAACATCACGGTATGCTAGGGAGGACATTAACCGCTCTACTCGATCAATAACGATTTGTTTACCATCTTACACTCAACATGCAGTTTTGCGGGTTCTTCTTATAATATTTATATCACCATGGTGAGCCGCCCTAGCAACTAATATTGCTAAATTCCTGGAATCACTGTAAAGTACTGGTAATGTGTTAGGTATGTGCTAAATGACCGTATTATCCGCCCTTACATAGACAAATATCAACGCACAACAAGTTTTGTTCTAAAGAAAAATGTTAAAACGACTTTCTATATCACCGCAGACATTATCATTTATCAATAGCTTTATTGTCTATGATCGATAGTCAAAGCCATCTTCAATACTTAATTTAACCACATTCCAATTATTTCAGCGATAAAAACAGAAGCGCGGTTTCTAAACGGTGAGAGTAAGAGAAAGAGACCAACAACCGCTGTACGAGCCGTAAGCGCAGCTGCACGACTACCGAGTGTAAGAAGTGAAGAGTGTAATATTGAGAAACGAGAGTCTCCTTATATACTACTCAGAGCTCCCTCAAGAGCGGGGGCTAAGTCAGTCCAGGTGCATACTTTTACATTTTTCAGAAACTGTTTTATGTATTTCTATTTAGTAAGGATAATCCAAGTGTTTTGGTATGGCAACACGTACATTTGCACGTACATTTGCACGTGCAACACGTACATTTGCACGTGACAGCAGCACCCAGACGTTACCTTTTTTGAACTGGTAAAAATAACGTAAAATAGCTTAAACAGTATATCTAATCCACCTTCACCGTTTCCGTGCCACTAGCGCCACAATTCTCTGCGAAGATAAGAAAACTGCCATCACATAGAAACGCCCTCTACCTAAAATTATATAATATGTGGACTTTGTATCAACACCAGCTAATAACGATTAACGTTCAACTTAGGTCACGAGGGTTTCGTGGTCGTTCAGACTTTGACCATTTTCTCACTTCTTGAAAAACATTTCCTCTATTCAGTCGAACTTCTTTATATTAGTCTTATTATTGATTCGTAGTAATTGATATTAACGTGCACGGACTGTTTCGAGAAAAAGACTTTGTCATAGCACGTGACACGTCCCATTCATTCAGGCTGTAAACTTAACCGACAGACAGAAAATCAATACAACGTGTACTTAGATACATGATATTAATGTTAAAACGTTTTTAAATTGGTGGGAATCTTATTAAAACTCTCTGTTTGAATAACAGATATATTAGCTAATTGCACTGAACAGCTGTAGAAATAACCTCGTAAATAAAGGGAACCTGACAAACTTAGTTTCATTCAGTAGGCATCAGAGAAACACTATAATATGCACTATAGAGACTATACAGTTTAGAGGCGCTAGAGGCGTGATTTACCTGCATTATCTAAGTGTTTGAACAGCGTCCTGTCAGCGCCACAAAAAGCTAACCCTGTATAGTGCACAGCACAGAGACCGTGTGTGTGTGTGTGTGAGGGACGCTACGTAACTCACAGTTCCAACAGTAGTTACACTGTAATCAATAATTCAGACCTTGTCAGTGCGTGTGTGTGTGTGTGTGTGTTTACCCTCCTCCTCCTCCTTGTCCACCTGTCCTTCTTGTAGTACACGAGAAACATCAGATACATCAGATACCCTTTTGTAGCGCTGCATTTTTGTAGCTTTGTCGTAGTAGCGTCCACTACGTTGTAGTGAGGGTCGGAGTTGTTTCAGTCTAAGTTAGTCTGTTCTATGTTGAGGTTTTAAGTTTTCTCGATTACTCCTATGATGTTGCATTCTGATTTATGATGCACCATTATTGATCGTGCTCCAGCCATTAGTTGTTACCGATTTACCTGTTACCAGCATACCAATTCTATTCTAGTAACTCAACGCTTATACATCACTTCCCGACATAACAGTATATATTTTGCTTTTGTTAGAGGTTAAAAGCCGCGTATATTAGGCTTGACCGAACTAATTCGGCTTCATCTTACGTCAAAATACTCAACACAGTTAATAAGGTGTAATTCTTGAGATTTTTCAAAAATCACGTGACAACAGTATCCGTTACAATTAAACTAACAAGGAAATTTGTCCAACTTCTTCACGCCGCCCTGTATTGTATATCAGATTGTATATTTGTTGGTTGTTTTGCAGCTTTAGTACTTGCAATTGAGACTCGAGACCACTCTCGTTGTCATGTCTGCTGTTGATGCCGTGACGGAAGGTACAGAGAATCAGCCCTCTACAGAATGTGTGATTGAACATGACACGCCCCAGTCTAGTCTCGAAATGAAGGAGGACCAGGAAAGCTCTAGAAGTCCGGATTTATCTATTGGAATAGAAACTGCGGATATAACTGCTGACGATAAAGAAAGGAGCAGCATCTCAGAGGAACTTGCTGAAATTAAAAAATCCAACGAGATAGGTTCAAATGAAACGCTATATCATAACACCAGAGATAAAGATGATATCAAAGCAAAAAATGATGATTTAAAGGCATCTTTAAACGCAATTTTTGCGAGAAATGAAAGCAGAAATCAGATAAAAGAAGAAAAAACTAAAGAAGATGCTGCTGAGGAAGAAGAAAAGAAAGACAAAATTGAAGATTCTACAGTTTTGAAGAAACAAGAATCTGAGGTAGGGAAGAAAGAAGAAGATAAAAAGAGTGATGATACCTTTTCAAACGTGGTACCTGATGTAATTGTTGAAGAAACAGAGGAGGATCTCAGTCAAGGTACCGTTTAACGCACGCATCACGCAAATCACGCATGGCATGTTACCTGATCTAGCCTTACTTATGGTTTCATTCCAATTTCCATTTTTGATGGGCGTGAACATTTCGAAACAGTATAATATATAGTTAATCGGGCATATAATTTGCATCCCTAATTAGTGTTCCCTTTGAAACTCCCGTTTCTTGGTTAAGTATTGTGACTTTAGTCCCAGGCCCCCCTCAACTTTCATCACAGCAATTTCATACTCTCAGTGTGCTCATAAAATAAGTTTCGCACGAGATCGTTTGAAAGTAGGTTGCATACATACGAAATAACTGCGAGTATGCTAGTCATGACGCCTCTATTCTTGTAACTAAAGTTGAACAATCAGAACATTAACTTTAATACTTGTCATAATTACCCCTAATATTGATATCAACCATGCACTTGTGTACATGTTTACTATAAAAACATGGATTATTATAGAAGTGTAATTTATTTTCATGACGGTAGCATGTGCTACATGCATGTGAACGTCAAACTGACACGTGGCCAGGTCAAAACTGGCACGTGACTTGGTCAAAACTGTCACGTGTCCTGACGTCTTGACAGTGGTGATGGTCGATGATAATCACTGTATATTGTACCGGCAAGTAGTAGCGGACTCACTCAAATGTATCGTGCATAAAAATGTCACAGAAGTAGTATGTTGCAGAATGTTGAATATTACAAGATTTTACAGTAGAAATCATGTAGATTTCTGATATGTGACTGATAAGCTAGATGGATATGCTACACATAAAGCTGGATAGCAAGTAACTATATTTGCTTTGTAGAGCAAGTTTTAAGGTTATCCAGTTCTTTCTTTTTTCGCACCAACTTTACTAAATATCTGGCCGTATATGATGAATTTTGAACCGGAGTATTGGTGGTGGCTGGTCAGAATTGTTCAGGTTTTTTCACAAAATTTCAAATCTTGAAGATTTGGTCAACATTTCGCAACAATAATGATAACATCGTCAAATTGTCTAGATTTACTTCAGGTTCCGACTTCCGTTAGTTTCATAAGTTAGTTCTGTTAGTCCTAACGGATCTCATAATCACTGATCACCTACTTTAAAGTGCAAGTGCTCAAACTTTGACACTTTATTAAATTTGATATAAAATGTCAAATTTAATTTCAAATCCGGATCATAATAATGTTCCTGCTCATAATCCAGATCTGTCATCCTTAACCACCTACAACTACTACTAGTAATACTACTACTCTACTACTGCAAGGTGTAGCCCAACTAGTACGAAGGGTTAGATCATGTACGAACCCCGCAATTTTAACATATCAAATAAAATTGGGTGTGATGCTGCCAGATCGCGACTGCTTTTCTTCCACCACAGAGAAAGGCTCACTTTGAATCATTCAGTAATTTTTGTGGCTTTGCTGTTAAATTTAATAATTTTTAAAAAATGGTAAGGAGATCTTTTAACATAAATACGTGTTCAGTTCATACCATCAGGCCTGTTAGTGAGTTGGGATGAGGTCTTTTAATCATAACATTAAACTAAACTGTCAGGTAAAATATTACGATATTACTTGGTGATAGCTTTAAAAGTTCATTGTTTTACGCCAATACACCACCATATAAAGATACAACATGTCAAGTAATGTATGATCCTAATGATAGTAATGTATCCTGATGACGTGTAGCAGGTGCCAAGTATCGAGAGAGGAGAATCGTCTTAGTTTGCCTTATTTAACACTTCTGTAGTAAACGCTGTCCAAGCGAGTAATATACATCTTCGTGAACTGTAGCTAGTTAGTTTCTAGTAGCCTCAACACAGCTTATCACTGTCCTATTGTTTGTTGTTACATGTCTATTATCTATATTCGTAGTTCTGATACTTTTACTTACTTTAACCGGTTTGAATTTCACATTCCAGTTGTTATCTGATTTAAAGTAGATTAGCTAATTAAGCTAATTACTTAATTGAATAATGAGTTATTTTCCGCACCTCGTACGGTCGTTTTACACGTATGGTTCTTGTGACTGATGATCTTATATCTGAACATGACAGATGACACTGACTCTCAAATACTCGCTTTATTCCACGTATATTTAAATAACATTTGGTCGTAACTTGGTGATCTAACTGTCCGAGAGAGACAATTGTGATTTCAATCAGCTTTGTCAGCTTTACTAGTGATGTGTTGTCTACTTTTACAGTGTACAATCATAGTCATTTACATGGAATTTTCCAGAACTTCGCTGATTAATGACATGGTTTGTTCACGGGTGGGTTATTGATTACATTAGTTGAGGCTTGTTGTACTTATAACCATTTCAGTTTGTCAATTTTTGATGTGATGAACACAGCTCATAACATAGCTCATAACATGAACTCGTACATATTCGTGTATATAACGCAGTAATTGATCATGTCTATAAAGGGCCCGATTCCTGAACCGCATGGAATCAGAAATAGAATCCACAAATTCCTGAAATTCCACGCATATGTTCAGGAATCCTTAGCTGTTCTCTAACTCAGACAGCATCTGGTTATTTCCCGTACTCTTACTCCCCAAGTTCCGCCTCTATTTCCTGACATGTTATGTTATTTCCTTTAATGATCAGTCCTATTATAGAAGTTTTGTGACACTAGATAATTACGGTTGACGTCACAGCGTTCGTTGTCGTGATTACGTTTGTTCCGACTAACTAATATACGAGTACTCTACGTTCAGTTTTGCTGTCAAATTTTGCTTTTTGTTTTTTACTGCCGCTCAAACTTTGTACATTTAAGGGTAGGGAATGTTGCTTTTTGCTTGAACTGTATGTTGCACAATTTTCTGAAGCCTTTGATGTTGAACGCTGTGAATGTCTCATTATTCATTTAATCTCCTTGATTTTCATTAACTGATGTTCATGTATTCTGTTCTATTTGGATGACATTTCCAATCTCTTTGATGTTATAATGCTCGTAACTATTTAAAAACCAGTGCCACTTTCTTCGCGTTGTGATCAGTCATCAGCCTCGCACAATAATGAGACATAAGTAGCTATAATTACAATTACACTATTTACAATTCAGGTACAGTCATACCTGATTTGACTTACAGATAAATCTATGAATCAAGCTTAATCTCGTTTCTTATGAGATTTCTGACATTCATGTACCATATTCTTACATTTTAATGAATTTTCAGGCATGAAGAGCAGCGAGGAAAAGAAACCTAGATTTACGTTTTTTAAGAAAAATAAGAAAGCAGCCGAGCTCTCGTTAGACTCCGAAAAGAGTGACAATGAAAGCAACCAATCAGGGGGATTTAACCGGCGCAACAAGATGTTCAACCCATTCAAATCAGTTCGCAAAGCAGTGAACAAGTACAGAACCACACGGCGGCCCGCGCCTGAAGTGGAAGTAACACCACCGGTTATTATAGAGCCTGAACCGATAGACCCCGCCAACTTAGAGGAAGTTAGACAGGAAGTTTGTGTGGTGGAGGATATCAGGAAGAACAGACCAAAAGGCCCTCAGGGTCGGAAGAGGAGGAGCATGAGACCCATTTCCACTGCTGATGGATCACAAGCTGGTACCCCTGTTGAGGCACAGTTGGAGGACATGTTAAATGGGAACACGGGGAGTCGGTCTAACAGTGTGGTTAATGGGAACAGTCTGTCTGTTGGTCACGTGAAGTGCAAATCTGTCAGTGAGTCTGTCAGTGAAAACGGGCCGGGTCACGATCCTCCAGAGTCAGATTTGATGAAGTCTGATGTTGGTAATTTGGCATCTAGTTCACAAGAAACGGGAAACACTGGTCAGGAAAATGCTGAAAGCAGTAAGGAATGTAAGAAGGAATGTGATGAGAAAGATATCAGTGTCCAAGGTGCTTCCTGCATCAGCGGACTCGGGGATCTCTCAAACATCGGCACCAGTGAGGAGTCTTGAGAAACCCTCATTTTTACTGCCTCAAAATAGACATTAGTTTTATAGCTTGTACATGATGGTAGTTTAATTTCTAGAAAAGTCTTGCGTTCTGATGGAATACATTAAGGTTAGTGCGTTTGAAGAGATCAAACATTAATCATCTAGGAAAAACTATGAGTATTAGAAAAGTTAACTTAACTAATACTTTCCTTCATTAATTTGTCTATTGTTTATCTTACTGCCAAAAATTAGTTAACACTTTTTGCTTTGCTACTATAAATTGTGAAATTATTATGAGTGATGACGGTAAATTAGTAAATTGAGTCATTTCGTTTGCTTGACTACGGGAAAGTGTAATTTAGATTTTGGAAACAATGCCGCATGCTGTATCTTTTAAATTTTGTTATAACTTTGATAATTAAAGATAATGATAATTATGTGTTACATTTTGCTATTTGCTATATAACCTTGATTAGTAAGGCAATTGAATTTGTATTTTTATTGCATAGTTATTACTTTTTTCTTCATAAATTTGCTACAAAAATCATAGTTTGTACACAAATGTTGCGCAGTAAATATATTTAATGTAATGTGATATTTTGTTTTATACCGAATATGTTAATAATTGGAGATTTTACTTTCATTTTTAATTCTTCGTTGTCACAAAAATGGACCAGGAGAAAAAAATGTTTCAAGTCACAAATTTAAAAGTACTCATTAATTTCAAATGAATGAAACTAAACAGCTAAATGGTGAACTTAACAAAAGTCAGGAAAGATGATTTACCGGCCATAAATACACAAGGCTGCAGACTCTAAAGTTTGAAATTTAATGAAACTAAGCATGAAACTATTTATGAAACTAAACAGCTAAATCTCGAACTAAATAGAAGTCTAGAAAGATATATAAATACACAAGGCCGACGAAATACAAATTTAAACGAATATCTCTACATATCTTTACTTTAGGGTTGGAAGCAGAATACATCACAGTACATGCTAGCTTTTCAAATCCTACAAACGTTTGGACTCTTACATTCTAGGTAGCTGGATAACACTAAAATGTTGTGTAGATAATTTCTAACACAATCGAATGCATGAATAGTATTCAAACAACTGAAGCCTACATGTACTCTAAAGTCCGATTTACCGCGTAGTTTGGGGTTATTAGGAAACAGCCGCGGAAACCGGGTTCGCGGAAGCCGGGACTGTGTTTATTGTATATACTATTATAGGGGACGTGTATGGAATATTCGCGTCCATAATTATTTGAAATGAATAAGGAAAGATTGAAAGTTTATTTGTAAAACGTTGCATCTGATAACAAACCTGTGTCGTGAAACTGACTAAAGTATAAGAGGCATCATGTAGCCGGTGGGCCGGACATGATACGACATATCTCGACACGTCGGGGTTTGTCGGGGTTTGTCAGGGTTCGTCGGGGTTTGTCGGGGTTTGTCAGGGTTTGTCGGCTGTGTCGGGGTTTGTCGGGGTTTGTCGAGCCTGGAGGCTTTTTTTTTTTTTTTTTTTGAGTCTCCCAACAAAAAGCCGATACGGAGTCATCAAGCTTTACGTGGAAAAACACTACACAAGAAGGCCTCATGTAGCCGGTGGCCCCGAGGCAAAACCCCTCGACAAACCCCGTCTGTCGGGGTTTGTCGGGGTTTGTCGAGCCTGGAGGCTACATGATGCCTTATAAGCACGAACTTGCTTCAAACTGGATAAAGTTGTTATGGTATTGAGGGTCGTTATTTGAACACTTTACAATGTGGTTAATAGTCTCGGGTCTTATTTGACGCTCTTAAGATGTGGTCAAATATGAAACCTTATAAATTCCAATACGCTTAAATTGCATACCTGAAACTTGAAAGCTAGTTTAATCTATTTTAATTTAATTATTCTGCATGGAGGATTTATACTAGCAAATTGATATAAACTGAAAGTATAAATTCACAAGTCCGACGTAAGTTTATATTCTCATAATTTGGTGAAGCAATAATCACGTCATGCTATTTTCAATCCTAAACTGACTACATTTAGTAGCTGGATAACACTAAAATGTTTTGTAATGAATCTCTACACAATCGATGCATATAGTATTCATAACAACTGAGCCACTGTCTCTAAAGTCCGATTTACCAGGGAAGGAACACCCCGGAAACGAGTCCGGGCGGAGGTTTATTTTGCATTTATAATAATTCTGTAATCCCCTCACTATATAATTTTATCCCGCTCGCGATCGCTGAATAAAATGGCAACTTCTATAATCCTGCCCAGCTAATTTGGTCAAATTAGTTTGTGTGATATGGAATTTCGCGCCTTCAGTGTTTTGATGAGTGATACGTGACTAACTTACGCATTGGAAATGTCATATATGGTTAAACGTAGATCTGATAAATAACTTGTTCGTATGTCTAATTATGGCTCAGCACACTGCTTACAACTGTAAATTTCAAATTAATGAGGAGTTCCAGAAGTTAATTTGACCTTAATTTGTCTAGTGATATACCTGTATATAGTCGTACTTATGACTTCAGTGAAGATATCACTTATTCTCCAAACTTTAATTTGCAGGCTCGAACTCATCCTTTATATCGATATTCATATTTCAGTTCAATACTTCTACGGAATAATGTTAGCATAAGCAATTTCATGTATAATGATTTTTCATTGTGTCCATTCCATTTACATACCAACGATCCAACGGCTAGAATAAGATGAAAAGCAATTTGTTGGTCCAGCACTAACCGAGCGGTCATAAAATTAACACACCTTAAGTATATTGAATAAGTGCTAATAGCAGTCGGGTAATTTTATAAAATCCCTGTGTCGCACAATATATAAATGGGTCGGGGAAAAATTGAATATAATTGCAATGCCGGGTTATGTGTAACTAGAATTCGGATAATAGAAAATAAGAAAATGAAAATTTTAAACTCGCCCTGTCGTGAAATGACTAATGAACATCGATTGCTTCAACTGGACATATTGATTATTATTACGGTCGCGTCATTGCACTTTTCTGTGGTTAATGCCCATATTGAGATCAAGATGTGGGCAGAACCATAATCATAGTTTTGAGAAACTACATTTTTCATTTTATTTTATTTTCGGTTGCAGAATTTATATACGGAAAATGTACGGCGCAAAGACAATTTTGTATACAAACATGTGCAATTCACATTTACTGTGACAGCGCGCGTTAGCCGAACGCGCGCGTCGCGTGGATGATTGGACGCAATTAATGGTCAATATTGATTGCGCGCATTCATATCGTTCGCCTATCCGGTCACCAATATATTTAACTTGATAATCCATGAATATGCATCCGATAGTAGGTGCGAATGCATGCCAAAGGAACTAAGATCTTACTGAGAGTCCAAAAAACAGACAATGGAGCACATAATTGGGCGGGGACGACTGTCGAAGAAGCGGGAAACTATTAAGACAGTCCCTGCTCCCTAGGTGAGGCTATATCGATTAGGCACACTACTATACGGCCCGCAATTCATTCATACGGGAACCTGGTAGATTGCAAGGTAGATGCGGGACACGGATATATGGAGAAAGTTATCTGGCGTAGAACTTAGTTCCTAGTATAGATGTAGTAGTATTCGTATTGTATGGATGTCAAAGATCTTAAAAGATGGGTGTTTCTTGTGATAGGCTCTTAACGGATTGGGAATGTTCGAAGCTCTGTATGGACGTCTTATCTGGACGCCACAATTAGTCCAGTTCAGAAACAGAGTTTGGAGGTGCGGCCACTGATGAGATGCCTCCTTAGATATGGGTGATGTGTTGGAACTGACATCTAGGTCACACCCCCGTAATTGTACTTTTCGAATGTCAGGCCAGTTCCAGATTGACGAGATGCTACACATTCTATCAGACATAACATTTTTTAAAATAAAACACCTTATTAAAATCAAAAGTAAATTTAATCAAAGATAGTTGAACGAACATAAACACAAGGACATAAAACGAGATTCCTCACTAGGTGTAAATCTAACACGGATATAATTCAGCTTCTCAGCTGACATTTGACAGTGTTGAATATATGGATTTAGCCCTTCTGTAAAAGTTATAAAACTCAAAGTGTCTTTCCAATTTTACTTTAATTGATTGATAAAGAAGAAAGTTTTGATAAGACCATTTTGACGATCTTAAATATCTAGGGATGTTTCATCTGAAGTTGTTCAGTTACAGTTACCGATCATTGTGCTACCAGTAACAGTAAATATATTAATTTGGGGAAGATATACCGAATAAGAATATCTTTGTATTTTGTAAGTAAAAAATTCGTTCTAATAAAGCACCCATCTTGAAACACGAACACGTATCTACGTTAGACCTGTGTAATACTAGTCCCTAATGTTATGGTTATCATGGTTCAATAATAGAATTCAGGTCTTGTCAAATTTACCTATCGTCTAATCATATGCATTTATTGTATCTTTAAAACACTCAATCTCATAATATTCAACCCTTGAAATTATGCTTTCTTACATTTGGTTAATACATCTGACTTAAAAACTCAAAATATAAAACATTGCAATATACCGGTATCGTAAGTAAAAGTTTGATCCAGATCCTTCTCTTACAAAAACAGTGTGCGAAAGTACGTTTATAGAGTTCCAATAAAATGTAACTCCTCTCATGCGACGTTTGAAAGATTCTACTGACCGACGTGAACACAAAACTCCTCTTTAGATTAAATAATTTCTTTCTAACACAATTGCATGGGCAGGAAACACCTGTTTAAACATTTGGATTTGGAGGATTAGGAAGAGCTGCCTGTCCATCTGCACAAACTTGATATTGACGGTATACTGACACGAGTCATTCTATGACTCGTGTAATTACTTCATAGTTGAATTATAAGTCTTGCAAAATTGAAAAATTAAAGGCCATTAGCCAATGATCTTAAACACAGTCAATGTTTGGCTCATACCGTCATACCTTTAAAATCAAAATAGCTGCAGATGAACAGGTTTGGTTGCTCGTCAATTCAACGATAAGAAGTCTGAAACTTTAGGATCAAACATGCAGGCTCGGGTATAATATCTCATATCTTACAATGAATAACGATACAAATTTTTCATAAAATAGTAAGTGTTTAAGAACGATCGATTTCAGCTGGTGTCCGCCTTAAAACATGATTTTCCCAGGCCCCAGGGCTCTTTGGAAAGTTAAACAATCAATATATTGGAGACATGTTGCTGTAACATATTCCTTAGATCTACCCTTTAAACTGCTTATTAATTTTCATACATTTGTTTAAATCTATGATAAAGTGAAATATAAAACTAAACTTATACCTAATATTCATATTACTTTGCCATACAGACCGGCCCTGTCACGCATCGCACGTGTATCTACTGTTTATAAATTCTTATGAACACTGCGCGTCGGGGAATTTACACGTGCACGTTAACTTGTGTACATTTGATTATATTTATAATACCAACCAGGCTAATCCTTCTTGTATGATAGCTTTATTATATACAGAGTGATTTCCAGCACTTTCTGGCGACGTTTTAACACTCGAGATATGTATCCTTAAGAGAGATATGTATCCTCTAGATACGTATCACCACGCTCAACAGGGATGTCTGACAATAAGAGTTCTCACAATCTTTAATGCGCGTTCTCTTCGTCAAACGGCACCCAGTTTTGGCGAGCCTGAAAAGCAAACTTGTTATTATATTATTTTTTTAAATATCACACGAAAACCGTTCTTTACTGATTGGATGATCAGAGTTGCAAAAAAATTGGAAAAAAATTTGAACTGTGTATTCTAATACACGATAAATACAAACACACACGCTGTTTCCAGTCAATCAATCTGGAAGAATAGCTAAAATTGATAAAAGTGAAAGTGAAACTAGGTGAAATCCTAACAAACCTGCTGAAGAGGAATGAGAGTATCCTCAGCAAGAGGTACGGGAGTGTCGAGTAAGCTCACGTTATTATTGTTATTGTTGTGAGCTATGGTGGGTGTACCGGGCGTACTTACAAACGGCACGATGGGGTTATGCGTATTCCCGATAACCTGACGAGAAAGTTAATACTTTATTTTAAGATATCTTATACATGTAATGTGTGTCAATCAGTGAAACTTCTTTTAATCGTGCATCAGCACCGTTAAAAGTTTGATTTGATTTATAGTTTTAAGAAATAATAAGAATATTAACTTTGGATAGCGTTGATAGCTTCAAATCATCGATCTCATTACGCATTTGTTTCATCTGCATCATGAGGTCCTGATTTTGCTTTAGAAGCGTTTCGTTTCTGTTATTTGCTTCAGATCTTGATTGCATCTGGAGGAAGAATTTACTTTATAAAAAATGGAAAAGATACACTGACAAAAACCGGGAATTTCAAACATTGACGTATAATAATTAATTTATATAAACAAGATTTTTGACAGATTTCAGACTTCCCCAGGTAATGAGTTTTGTCGTAATTCATAAATTGTCGGGAGCAGCCATCGTATATGCTCAATATTCCCACCCGATCATTACAAGCCAATATCACACAAACACTAATTGAAAGGAGTTCCTAAGAATATAAATATTTGTATAAAATCAAATGAGTAACCTCTTTTTCCATCTGTTTGCGAAGCATGTTTATCATGTTCTGCATTGCTTGATTCTGTTGTGTTAGGGCCTGTCCTGGTTCCGGGGAAGATGTTGCTATTGGACCCTGCAAAATAAATTAATATTAGTCACATTTTAAATGTGATACCTGACGATAAGCTTAATCTTTGTGATTATTCCTTCTCATTTTAGCGAGCTTAGTCCATATTCCACCTATATTGCCTTATCAGGTAGCAAATCTTCCAATTCCTTGTCTGTCTTTAAATGGTGAATGGTCTGTTGTAATCTTGCTTGTTCGGCACAAGTCTTGTCAGTTGACAGGTTGAATGTAAGTCAGTCTAGCCGTAGTTGTCAGTTTGTTCAATACCAGTCACTGTCAGCGCGAGCGGGTCCTCACTCCTCAAAACTCACATTGACGCTGAAAGCTGAGGGAACAGGAGAAAGTATGGGTCCCTCTTTGTCTGTTTCAGTGAAAGTATCTGACCCTCCCAACCCTTCGTCCGTTGTGCGGGCCTGCTGGGCATTATTACTAGGGTTTTTGCTTTAGTAACACAAGGTAGTTACTCTTACCATGGCTGTGTTACAGGGTCATGGCTTTGATAGTGACATTTTACAGAACGACCACAGCTACAGGGTTAAGTAAGGGATAGTGAAAATGTGATAACTAATAGGAAAAGTAAAACAAACCATCTAACTCAAGGATAGGAAAGAAAAATTAAACTTACATCTGTTTTATCCTCGATAGAAGCACTGCCAACAGAACCCTCGATGGAACCAGCCTCGATCTTCTGAGCTTCCACTTTTTCTTCCTCGTCAGGGGTCTTATCAGCTGGTGGGGTCTCCCTGAGAAGATGTAGGAGATTATTAATCTATTTGGACATAGCAGTGATATTTAAACATGATGTTATAAGAGTTACAAAAATAATGAGCAGAAGGATTAAAGATACCTTTGACTGTTGAAAATTTAATCGAAATTAATGCAATAATGTTATGAAGTCACTGCATCTGTTCTAAAAATACTTACGCAACAGGATCTTTGTCCTTGTTTGTAGTGGTTTCTTTCTGCTTTTGTAACTTGTGGACCACTTCAAAAGCCTGGCCCATCGTTCGAACTACTCTCAGAGCTTGAGACTGAAAGGCATGACTTACAGATTGTATACATCAGCGTAGAATGTTATCTAGCATATTTAAAGCGTGTTTGTGAAATATCTTAACTTAACAGGGGAACATGTTTTTCACGAAGATCATCAAACGCCCAAACACCCTGCGGTTTTACATGTTGAGGGGTAAATACCTTTTTCTTAGCCTTGAAAACGTAACATTTAAAGGTGTTGTCGGGTCCATCCCGCGCTATGTAGGAGAATATTTTCAGGTCTTGGGAGTCGTGTGAAACGTAGAACACTCTGGAAGGAATGAACATTAGATCACAATCCCTTCTAACCTCACAACAATTTGATACTCAAGAATTGAAACATTCGATTGACTTCCACTTCCTCATGCTTGGGAATGCTGACTACTATAACAAGAATGTCCATTGTCCTGTACTATATAATCTAGATAAAGGATCAGCTGATAGTATCAGTTATCAAATTCTCCTATACTGATCGTTTGCTATGCGTTATGTCTAGAGCTGAAGGAATTTTTGAACGCTCTAGACATCCGCCTAGCTCTATCATAACAAACACGTTATCATGAGCGCGCGCGTGGTTCTACCTAAATGCTGTCAATTACTATATGCGGAATGCCGAAAAAGTGCATTTTCCCACACTTAACGGCTTGCGCGCGAGACCTAATTTCGGTTGGTTTTGCCTCCCAAAATCAAAATAATTTACCAATTTTCGTAAAATCAAGGTTTAAATTTGTTTGGAAACTGAACTGCATGGCAAAATGCGAACCAAATTGTTTGTAATATTAGTTCTCTTATTGACCCAGCCTAAGTCACGTCAGAATAAGAGTTATTCAGGTATGCGATACACAAGAAAGCGATTGTTTTTAATAGTCAAAACAAGAAAGCAATCATGTTAAACACATTGAGGTGTTATAAGAACTAGGTCGCCCTAGGCGGTCTAGGCTGGGCCAAAGCGGAGTTACCGTAGCCTTTAACAAATAATTACTAAACATCCAGACGGAATCATTTCATGTGGTTTAAATCTTACACAACTATGGGTTTACTTAGAAACATGAAGTAAATTTGTTCAATCGAAAGTTTTAAATATTATTTAACATTTGTGACGATTTTATCAGTTCTTTTATTTTGCAGCCAAGCATGAAAATACCAATTACGTGTAAACGGCGAGTATAAGAATTTGCATGATAAGGAGTAAAGTTTTAATTTGATGACCTAAACGTTTCGACACTGGACACGTTAATTATCTTAATACAATTATGTACCCTGAAAGAACTTACTTGAATATGGTATGTTCCATGATCACTGGACCAGTGGCTTCCATTAACTGCTGTTGCGGGGTTTTCCTTATCAACCTTCGTTTCTGAAATTATCCAGGTTAAGATTAAAATTGAACGGTATAATATACGATAGCCAAATATAAGGGTGAAAGGTGCAGTGGTTTATGTTATGTTGAAGGTATTAAAATCAGGTAATATTTATGTTTATACAAATATTTCTGATAAATAATTACAGAGTAACACACGAATTGTAAGCCATTTTTTAGTTATATATCACCGTCTATTTGTTAACGTTAATTTTCAGTTTATAAACACTCAGTTTAGTTATGTATATTTAGAAACTGTCTGTACATAATATGTTGCATACAGCAAATACTCTACATTTACATATACTGCTATTGACTATCAACAATTTGCAAATCAATCTAGATGTATCTGTATAGGGCGATATTACGACACATATCTATTAATTTTAAAATTCAAATAAATATCGACAATGAGGCAACATCATGCTTTATAAAGATTTAGGAGATGTTCATGAAACTTAGCACTACCAGACTGCAGCTGGAGCTACACAACTACCTTACTCGGGAATATTATAGCGGGTTAATTTATGACTGGGAAAATTAATGACCGGGAAAAATATGGCGGAATTTTCCAAAACCCACCAAGCATCAAAATGTATTACTATTAGTTTACCTTACTCGGGAACATTATAGCGGGTTAATTTATGACTGGGAAAATTAATGACCGGGAAAAATATGGCGGAATTTTCCAAAACCCACCACTTTATCCCAGTCATAATATTCCCGAGTAAGGTATGTATGTTATGCACATATAACTGCAATCTACTCCATACTTCCATAGGACTACAGCCTAATCTCATTCATGTTTATAATCATGTGGGCTAGATTAATTACAGTTCACTGTCTTATATACAGTTACATACAGTTACATACATGGTATGCAAGCTATAATCACTAGATTGCTAAGAGTGACAATTTGAAGAATTGCAGAGCTGTAGAGTTGAACGTTGGATAGTAATTGTCGGATGTTCATTAGCTGCTCTTAGAATGCGTGGTAGAATGTTATTGTGGAGGTACATTACTGGAGAGGAGGTTAAACTGTAACTGTGTTACCACAGTTACTACTACTGCTACTGCTACTGCTACTGCTACTACTACTGCTGCTGCTGCTGCTGCTGCTACTGCTACTGCTACTGCTACTGCTACTGCTACTGCTACTGCTACTGCTACTGCTACTACTACTGCTACTGCTACTGCTACTGCTACTGCTACTGCTACTGCTACTACTACTGCTACTGCTACTGCTACTGCTGCTGCTGCTGCTGCTGCTACTGCTACTGCTACTGCTACTGCTACTACTACTGCTACTGCTACTGCTACTGCTACTGCTACTGCTACTGCTACTGCTACTGCTACTGCTACTGCTACTGCTACTGCTACTGCTACTGCTACTGCTACTGCTACTGCTACTCCTACTGCTACTACTACTGCTACTGCTACTCCTACTACTACTGCAGTTTATAAACTAAGTAGAAATATTAGATATACTGGTACGGTAGGTGAACTGAGCAGTGGTCACGGTATCGCTTCTGGAACATGATACTATTACTTCCACTTTTTAGGGATCTCTGATATAAACGGTGCAGCTTCATACCAGGTTCCAATATAAAACCTGCCACACTGCGGTGTTTTTGTACATTCCGGTAACAGGTGCGGGTATGTCATCTAAATACCGGGGAGGAGGGTTGTATAACAGCATATTTACCTGTATTAAAAGTATTGTAGGTACCGTGCACATGTTGACCGGGCATGTTGGAGACCGGGTCAGGGATTAGCTTCATGTATAAGCTGCACAGCTGTGCTGCTACACTATTCACAGTTATGCTACTGTAGAGTGTAGCAAAGTGCTACACCATTCACAGTTATGCTACTGTAGCAAAGTGCTACACCATTCACAGTTATGCTACTGTAGAGTGTAGCAAAGTGCTACACCATTCACAGTTATGCTACTGTAGCAAAGTGCTACACCATTCACAGTTATGCTACTGTAGAGTGTAGCAAAGTGCTACACCATACACAGTTATGCTACTGTAGCAAAGTGCTACACCATTCACAGTTATGCTACTGTAGCAAAGTGCTACACCATTCACAGTTATGCTACTGTAGAGTGTAGCAAAGTGCTACACCATTCACAGTTATGCTACTGTAGCAAAGTGCTACACCATTCACAGTTATGCTACTGTAGCAAAGTGCTACACCATTCACAGTTATGCTACTGTAGAGTGTAGCAAAGTGCTACACCATACACAGTTATGCTACTGTAGTAAAGTCTTACATCATTCACAGTTATGCTACTGTAGCAAAGTGCTACACCATTCACAGTTATGCTATTGTAGCAAAGTGCTACACCATTCACAGTTATGCTACTGTAGCAAAGTGCTACACCATTCACAATTATGCTACTGTAGAGTGTAGCAAAGTGCTACACCATACACAGTTTTGCTACTGTAGCAAAGTCTTACACCATTCACAGTTATGCTACTGTAGCAAAGTGCTACACCATTCACAGTTATGCTACTGTAGCAGAGTGCTACACTATTCACAGTTATGCTATTGTAGCAAAGTGCTACACCATTCACAGTTATGCTACTGTAGCAAAGTGCTACACTATTCACGTTTGCCACAACGTGGCCGTTACAACAAGCTGCATCTCTCTTTACTATTTCCAAATAACATTACTTAGATTATTCTTTAGATATCTAAATTCTAAATATGGATTTCACAACGAAAGTAGATAGATGATAATTTAAATAGATTCTGCGAGATAGCTGATGATTCATCTTAATAATAAAGTTCTGTTGAATTCAATAGTTCTTTGTAATTTAATAAGTTTAATGGCTTATAGTTTAAACATATTATAATTTATAGTTTAATAAACTTCTGTTGTACATATTAATGATATACAAATAAAGTTCTTTTGTATTTAATATTGTAGGCATTGGTGGTCTGAATAACAGTACTGTAAAGTACAGTTAGTACTCAGCACACGTAATTGCTAATTAGTATACTAATTGCTAATTAGTATGGTCACATTATATTTGGTATAACCAATTATCTATGTTCCTCTAATTAAATATTATGTATTTAATGAGATCAACTACTGGACATAGCCATTAACCATATGCCATACAAATTTTGAAGCTGTCAAAAAGTACACCATATTTAAAGCCATAAATAGATGAGTAAACTTAAATTTATACTAATGTTTGACACGGTATATTTACGTGTAATTTTTAATCACTATCCACATTTTGTTGGTGATGAATAATATCAAAAACCCCCTAAATCCTTCGTAAGTCGATGGATTTCATCTCAATAAATGGAAAATTAAATTTCTTCATTGACTGATCAATTACAGTAAAACTTCGATAATCGATATACAATAATACCAGGCCTCTTCTTTTCCCTACTAAGTTTTAGTTAATCAGCCCTTGTGCAAGAAATGTGATTTATCAAAGGTCATATTACATCTAGCGGGTGATGTAAGTAAATGTCGGGCTGCATTCCATCACAATACGACACAATACTGCATATATAAGATCCCTAATTTGGGGTTTATGGGACACTTGGCAGGTTATGAGGTTATTGAGGCTACAGCTACTGAGGATTGGGATCATGCACTTTTCATGCACTTTTCCTTTCTCCCGAGAGACCCGGTTTGACTTTAACTGAATAAAAATTAAACAAAAGTTTCTCACCCTTTTGGTTTTAAGTCTTCGCGATGTTTTGACTCCTTCTTGAGATATAAAAACATAAACTTTCTGTTTCTTCAATCTCTTCATTTTATACTCGTACTGAAGAACGAGAATAAATTCAATTAAACAATTAATGAAATAAATTAGGAAACCAGTGTTAAATTTAGAAATCGAGCCATTGGCTAGCACATATTTAGTTTACTAAAGACTTTTATTTACGCGACATTTCAAGTCTTTACGGGTGTTTAAATTTCTTCTGGTTTCAGTATACAACGAATTTAGATTAAACTCACCCGAATTTTTCTCATTGATGTAATAATCTCTAGTCGTGAGCTTGGCCGCGGTACTTCTTGATATCCGATGAACTGAAAATGAAGTTAATGAAAATGTAGGCCTTACACTGTGCTTTCAGCAATACTCATAATACTCATAACAATCAATTTAAGACCAAGCCTGGATACATAATGTAAAAATTAGAGAAATATTTAAATTTTGCCATTAAACTACTCATTTAATGTTGATTAGTTATCAAGTAAACCTTTGCACCCCGACAACACTATTTACTGTTGTAGACATATTCTGTGGGATAAACCGCGACTTTCCCCCACTAACCCACCAAAGGAATAATTTCATTTTTATTACACCAAATTTGTATCAATTATATCCAATGCAATATTGCTGGCTACTGGAGGTTATGAAACAGCTGGTGTGAGAAACAGAAGCTTGTCTTAAATTCAAGAAACTAAATTGATGAAGTCCTCTACTGGTTCCTTCGAGCGATTAAAAACTATCTTGGGTTTAATCACATTAATCACATGTCTGGTTTCGAAAACTTCAAGAAACATTTAAAGGTTTGTGGGACAAGAGAACTGTGATTGTTGAAGGCTGCCAGAACACAGATGTAACAAATTGTCGTAAGAGTAAGATTAACCACACAAACTGGTATACCACGCACAATGGTACTCCTCAAAGAAGCAACCGTATATATTTTGTACGTGTAACTTAAGGTTTTTTTTTTACATATTTGATAGATTTACAGATCTGGCTTGACAAAAATTTTCAGAAAAAATCATGTTCGCGGGAAGCAAAAATCCGATGGGTTTTTTAGGGGGGAGGGGTAGGGGGTTGAGGGGGGTTGGGAAGGGTTGTCACATGACGAGAATTTTTTTGCAAAAATTAAACAATCTTTATTTGTTGATATTATTCACCCCTGTTGCCTAGAGTGGTGGGTCTGCACTTGAGAAGAGTGGGTCTGGCCGCTAGAATGGTGGGTCTGCAATCTAGAAGTGGGTCTGGCAACCAGAATGGTGGGTCTGCAATCTAGAAGTGGGTCTGGCAACCAGAATGATGGGTCTGTACCCTTAAAGAGTGGTCTGACAACCAGAGTGGTGGGTATGCACTTGAGAATAGTGGGTCTGGCAGCTAGAATGGTGGGTATGCAATCTAGAAGTGGGTCTGTTAACCAGAATTGTGGGTCTACACCCTTGAAGAGTGGGTCTGACAACCAGAATGGTGGGTCTGCACTTGAGAAGAGTGGTTCTTGCGGCTGGAATGGTGGGTCTGCAATCTAGAAGTTGGTCTAGCAACAGAATTGTGGATCTGCATTCGAGAATAATGAGTCTTCACTCTAGAAGAGTGGGTCCGGCAACCAGAGTGGTGGGTCTGCACTTGAGAAGCGTGGGTCTGGCCCCTAAATGGTGAGTCTGCACCCTTTAAGAGTGGGTCTGACAACCCGAGTGGTGGGTCTGGACTTGAGAAGAGTGGGTCTGGCAGCTGGAATGGTGGGTCTGCAATCTAGAAGTTGGTCTGGCAACCAGAATGGTGGGTGTACGTACAGTGTACACCCTTGAAGAGTGGGTCTGACAACCCGAGTGGTGGGTCTGGACTTGAGAAGAGTGGGTCTGGCAGCTGGAATGGTGGGTCTGCAATCTAGAAGTGGGTCCGGCAACCAGAATGGTGGGTGTACGTACACCCTTGAAGAGTGGGTCTGACAACCAGAGTGGTGGGTCTGCACCCTTGAAGAGTGGGTCTGACAACCAGGGTGGTGGGTCTACACTTGAGAAGAGTTGGTCTTGCAGCTAGAATGGTGGGTCTGCGATCTAAAAGTGGGTCTTGCAACCAGAATTGTGGGTTTGCATTCTTGAAGAGTGGGTCTGACAACCAGTGTGGTGGGTCTGCACTTGAGAAGAGTGGGTCTGGCAGCTAGAATGGTGGGTCTGCAATTTAGAAGTGGGTCTGGCAGTTAGAATGGTGGGTCTGCAATCTAGACGTGGGTCTGGCAACATGAATGGTGGGTCTGCACCCTTCAGGCTTAAAGAGTGGGTCTGACAACCAGAGTGGTAGATCTGCACTTGAGAAGTGTGGGTCTGGCAGCTGGAATGGTGGGTCTGCAATCTAGAAGTTGGTCTGGCAACCAGAATGGTGGGTCTGCACCCTTCAGGCTTCAAGAGTGGGTCTGACAACCAGAGTGGTGGGTCTGCACTTGAGAAAAGTGGGTCTGGCAGCTAGAATGTTGGGTCTGCAATCTATAAGTGGGTCTGGCAACCAGAACGGTGGGTCTGCAGTCTGCACCCTTAAAGAGTGGGTCTGACAACCAGAGTGGTAGATCTGCACTTGAGAAGAGTGGGTCTGGCAGCTGGAATGGTGGGTCTGCAATCTAGAAGTTGGTCTGGCAACCAGAATGGTGGGTATACTTACACCCTTGAAGAGTGGGTCTGACAACCCGAGTGGTGGGTCTGGACTTGAGAAGAGTGGGTCTGGCAGCTGGAATGGTGGGTCTGCAATCTAGAAGTTGGTCTGGCAACCAGAATGGTGGGTGTACGTACACCCTTGAAGAGTGGGTCTGACAACCAGAGTGGTGGGTCTGGACTTGAGAAGAGTGGGTCTGGCAGCTGGAATGGTGGGTCTGCAATCTAGAAGTTGGTCTGGCAACCAGAATGGTGGGTGTACGTACACCCTTGAAGAGTGAGTCTGACAACCCGAGTGGTGGGTTTACACTTGAGAAGAGTTGGTCTGGCGGCTAGAATGGTAGGTCTGCGATCTAAAAGTGGGTCTTGCAGCCAGAATGGTGGATCTGCACTTGAGAAGAGTGGGTCTGTCAGCTGGAATGGTGGGTCTGCAATCTAGACGTGGGTCTGGCAGCTAGAATAGTGGGTCTGAAATCTAGAAGTGGGTCTTGCATCATGAATGTGGGTCTGCACCCTTGAAGAGTGGGTCTGGCAATCAGAATGGTACGTCTACACTCTAGAAGAGTGGGTCTGGCAACCAGAATGGTGGATTTTCGCCCTAGAAGGGTGAGTCTGGAAACCAGAAAGGTGGGTCTACAATCTGGAATAGTGGATCTGGCAACCAGAATTGCGGGTCTGCATTCTAGAATAGTGGATCTTCACTCTAGAAGAGTGGGCCTGGCAACCAGAATGGTAAGTCTACACTCTGTCAACCAGATTTGGGGGTCTATAAACTAGAATATAGGAGATATGGCTACCAGAATTGTGGGTTTGGACAATCCGAATGGTGGGTCTTCACTCTAGAATAATAGGTCTGGTGGGTCTACACTTTAGAAGAGTGGGTCTGGCAACTAGATTGGTGTGTCTGCAATCTATAAGAGTGGGTCTGGCAACCAGAATAGTGGGTCTGCAATCAAGGGAATCAAGATGAGTGAGTCTGGCAATCAGAATGGTGGGTCTGCACCTTAGGGTAGTGTGTCTGGAAACAAGAATGGTGGGTCAGAATTCTTGAATAGTGGGTCTTCACTCTAGCTAAGAGTGGGTCTGGCAACAAGAATGGTGGGTAAGAATTCTAGAATAGTGGGTCTTCACTCTAGAAGAGTGGGTCTGGCAACCAGAATGGTAAGTCTACACTCTGTCAAGTGTCAACCAGAATTGGGGGTCTAAACTAGAATATAGGATATATGGCAACCAGAATTGTGCGTCTGGAGTCTAGAGTCTAGAATAGTGGGTCCGGCAACCCGAAAGGTGGGTCTTCACTCAAGAATAGTGGGTCTGGCAATCGGAATGGTGCGTCTACACTCTAGAAGAGTGGGGCTGGCAACCAGAATGGTAGGTCTTCGCCTTAGAAGAGTGGGTCTGGCAACCAGAATGGTGGGTCTGCATTTTAGAATAGTGGGTCTTGACTCTATACCTACTAGAAGAGTGGGTCTCCTCTCTAGAAGAGTGAATCTGGCAACCAGAATGGTAATTCTTCACTCTGTCAACCAGAATTGGTGGTCTATGAACTAGAATATAGGAGATATGACAACCAGAATTGTGGGTCTGGACTCTAGAATAGTGGGTCTGGCAACCAAAATGTTGAGTCTGCACTCTAATAGAGTGGGTCTGGCAACTAGAATGCAGACACGTAGCCAAGGGGAAGACCCCAAAAAAATAAGCCCCCTAGTCCCCATGGTCGCCTGGTAAGTGGGCTGTGTTTATGACTGTTTGATTAAACGACACGACAGGCAATCGACTTTAGCATTTCGTAAATTATTCCCAAATCCCACTATTTTTTTTTAAATTTGAAAATTCAATTAATTATTATATATAAATCAAGCGTTACATTGGCTGGAACTGAGACTTAATGGTCTTTTTAGGGATCCATCGGTCACAGGCTGCATCAAGAACTCCTCTGAATCGACTCCAGGCAAGATAAGGATCATTACACCCAAATATACTATCCCAATCGATGCTAAATAACTCAGAATTCAGGCCCCTAAAATTACCTTTACTATAATTAAAGATCTTTCTTTTAGGCTGCTTAATATACTTTGTCTTAACATCAATGTCAAATGTGATACAAAAGTGGTCGGACATACACATTTCGTTTTGATCTAAAACTTTAACATTCTTAATAAGGTTCTGAATGTTAGTGAACACAAGATCTAAGGTGTTGCCTGACTTGTGAGTAGGAGAGCTAATAAGTTGTGTATGTCCGAGGTCATCAGTGAGAAAATTTACAAAGCTAGAATGTAGCTGGCAAGTTGACTGACCATCTGGCCAGGAAATCGAAGCTAAATTAAAGTCCCCTACCAGAATATGCCTTTGCAACTTTCTGGCAGATGCTAAAGTAACAAAATGTTTCTTGAAAGATTCAAAATTATCTAAGCCAAGCGTTCCTACTCTATAGAATGTAGATATGCAAAAGTTTCTTCCACACTGAGTCTTAATTATGATGGATAATAATTCAGCTTGAACACTATACTAACCTTTGAGAACTTTAGACTCGAAATATCAATGTCTGTTCTATGGGCAATCAGAACACCACCACCGTTTTTTCTGAATTTCTTGGGCTGGGTTGCATCCACAGGATGCGATCTTAAGGATCGATCAAGCCTAAATACTTTGTATTTGTCAGGGAGCACCTCATTACTGAGAATGGAATTTTTCAGCCATGTCTCGTTTAGAATAATGATGTGAGGCTTATGTTTGTAGATATAACCATGGAATTCATGTATCTTGGTCATATTTAGTGGTGGTGTTCCTGATGCTAGATCGCGGGTATTTAGGAAACCATGGACATTATTGTAAACAACGGATAAATTTGGTCTAGGGTTCAGTAAGGAACAATTACAAATTACTATCAGGGAAATATTAAGGAGAGATAGAAAAACCAGACCACACCTAGACATGACCCCAAGCCAGCTGCAATATGTACTTATTCCATTCAATGTGACAAGTACTGAGTTCCCCCCTAGCCCCCAACTTTGTATTATTGTAATGTCTGAAATTACAAATTTCTAATGCCAAATGTCGTCTGAAACACCCTATTTCTCAAAAATTTTCCGGGGGCTGCACCCCCAACTTTGTATTATCGCCGTCCTACAAATTTCTTTAATGCCTAATGTCGTCTAAAACAAATAATTTCTAAAAATTTTCTTGGGGGCTGCGCCCCCCCCCCCCCAGTCTCCCAACTTTATGTTATTGTGATGTCTGATTATTACTGTGCCCCCCCAGCCCACCAACCTTGTATTATTGTAATGTCTGATTATTGCTGTCCCACAAATGTCGTCTGGAACACCCTATTTCTCAAAAAGTTTCCGAAGGCCAGGGCTGCGCCTGCCTAGCCCTCCAACTTTGTATTATTGTGATGTCTGATTATAATTACTGTCCTACAAATTTCTTTATTGCCAAATGTCGTCTAAAACACATAATTTCTCAAAAATTTTCTGATTGGCTTCGCCCCCCCCCCCCTCCCTAGCCAACCAACTTTATATTATTGGGATGTCTGATTATTACTGCCCTACTAATTTCTTTAATGCCTAATGTCGTCTGAATCACCCTATTTCTCAAAAATTTTCCGGGGGGTGCGCCCCCCTAGCCTCCCAACTTTTTATTATTGTGATGTCTGATTATTACTGTCCTACAAATTTCTTTAATGCCAAATGTCGTCGAAAACACATTATTTCTCAAAAGTTTTCTGGGGGGCTGCGCCCCCCCCCCCCGGCCCCCCAACTTTATATTATTGTGATGTCTGATTATTACTGTCCCCAAATTTCTTTAATGCCAAATGCCGTTTTAATCACCCTATTTCTTAAAAATTTTGCTGGGGGTTCGCTCCCCTAGTCCACCAACTTTATATTATTCTGATGTATGATTATTGCTGTCCTACAAATTTCTTTAATGCCAAATGTCGTCTGAATCACCCTATTTCTCAAAAATTTTCCGGGGGTTGCGCCCCCAAGCCCACCAACCTTGTATTATTGTAATGTCTGATTATTGCTGTCCGACAAATGTCGTCTGGAACACCCTATTTCTCAAAAATTTTCCGAAGGCCAGGGCTGCGCCCCCCTAGCCCCCCAACTTTGTATTATTGTGATGTCTGATTATTACTGTCCTACAAATTTCTTGCCAAATGTCGTCTTTAACACATAATTTCTCAAAAATTTTCTGGGGGGCTGCGCCTTCCCCCCTCCCTAGCGAACCAAAGGAGCTTCGCCCCGGCTACGTGTCGTGTCGGGCTACGTGCCCAGAATCGAAAAAACTTAATCTTTAAATGAATAACGGAACCTTCATTATGAAGTTACGAGATGATAATATAATTGGGAGGCAAAGTGGGTATCGGGCTTGGGGCTCATAATGCGCAAAATTTGGCCGCTGTCGAGTGGGTCTGCCTAAAATTCACAGATCTAGCTATGGGTCTGAGACATTTGTAAAAAAAAAACCTTAGTGTAACTTTGTAATAAAAATGAGGATAGAAGTGGGATCGCATAATCAGCGAAAATATGCGGCATATTTTCGCTAATTATGCGATCCCGCATATTTGATATGCCGTGCCCAAATGTTGCCTCTGTTCCTAAACCTTAGAAGTCAACACTGATAACCCATCTTACCAAAAATGGGAAATATGTCAGATAATTTATCAAACACATGTATATCTCACACATAGTCATTAACATGTCACAAGAAATATGCCAAACATTTAGAAGGGCTGAATTTTGGCAGACATACACCTAACCAATTTCAGGCGTTAACACATGCTGCACGCTGTGTCTCCAGGCTGTGTGCTCTGGACCGTTCGAGAACAATTTCAGCGGTTGCAGAATACTTCCAGAGGGTTCCTGGACAAAACCGGCCGTTCCCCCATCTTCCCTTCATCACTTGAACGAGTTGTGCGTCAACCTATCTGCCTGGTGATTGAGGGTAGGCGGGGTGGCTCGTGATGACCACATGACATGTTCAATAAGTTGTATATAATATATTATATATTATGTGTGTGTGTGATGCACATCACGCGTATATTGTGACACCTACTGCACTCCCACAAACCGAATAGCTGTTATTTTATGAGGTGGAAAATTGGGAGTGGTGGCTGGTGAGTAGTGAGGAAGGACAAAACTTTTCATTAAGCGGTAAAAGTGGTAAAGGTGGTAAAATAGAACAGTGATAGTGGTCTCACTAGTCTATCATGGCTGTTAGATAACTAGTTAATTAGATGATTAGTTAGATAACTAATTAGTGTGTCCCCTGATTTGATTGATGTCATGTTAGCAATGTTTGGACGATTATCTCTATATCATACCATCCATGACACTGTGTGATTACAACTATGAGTCTAACGAAATGAAGCCGTTACATTAAAATCTAAATTGTAAGTTATATCAAACGCTCTTCAAAATACAGACGACAAAGTTTCTACGGCACTTCATTAATATTCATTATTCATTATATTGAAACATAGGTGTCCCGTGTCTGCTTCCACGGCATTTCTGTTCACATAATTGCTTCAGGAGCAACTTTTACTTTCGAGTTTCCCTGGTGTTTGGATATGTGCCCACTGCCCATTACACAAGCTTATTGTCAAGCTTATTACCAAGCCCTTTGCCAGTTAGAGACATTACTCTCAGCTATAACCCTACATTATGAGAACATGAGGGTAGTGACACTGTGACACTGCACTGTGACACTGTGTAATAGTACAGCTGGTTCAAAAACCTCACGTAGAACTACTGAGTACAGAATATTACAACATAAGCGCGGATGATTGTGTATAGTTGGCTGACAGAACTACAAATCACAATGCACCCCAGCTCTCCACACTCCAGCTCCCAATGCGATCAGCCCTGAGCGCTAACAATATCCCGATTTTATAAATTTGGCGGGCTTCCCTCGTTTGTTTTGACACGTGACAGATCAGCCAACCAATCAACAGCCGAAGAGAGACCAATCAACGTTAATATTTACCTTGACGGGGAAAGTAATGCCGTGTTGGAAGATATCGTCATTGTGGAGAGGCAATCTGACGTCGTCTCCATCATCCACAACCTCGTACTTCCCCGTACCTCCTGCAGGACACGCATGTTATTATATTATTACTATTTATAGCTGCATAATATATTATTCATATGTAAGTATGTTACAGTGAGTTTAATTATTATAAGAGTTCAGGTAGTTAGTTGATTTAGAAATATTGCGCTCCCGTTGGGAAATTATGTGGTTAAATATCAGGGGTGGGTAAAATGGAATATTATATTGTTTTGACTTTTGTGTTGTCATCGCGATCCTTTACCAAACATAATACCAACAAGAACACTTGTCAGATTCTTAAACTTCTCCTAATGTTGAAGGCTGAAATTAGAAATGCGACCCAATATAAGTATGACTTGATAAAAAGCGTTTTCTATTGTAAATCATTTATCACACAGATCACTGACCGCCCACTGGATCATACATACGTTTACAGTACATACATTAGTCCAGGTCTAGTCATTGGTAATTGATAAATAATGCATGATAATAATGTCTAATGTCTAGAATGCAGGTCTTTGTCTAATGTCTATTTGTTTATGTTACTGTACAGTGTACAGAAATGAATGTTTACTGCATAGTTTACATAGTTTGTTACATTCTTTACACACACCAAATACACGCAGTTCATGAACATCAAACTACAAAACAAACTACTACTACTAACTACCAAACACTCTGATCAAGTTTAGACGAGTCCTCAGCATACATCGCATTATATTATAATATAGGCTGTGTATTATATTAGGGATGGTTAGCGCGATTACATCATACTAGTCATAAAAGAAGGTTTCCGGCACTGTATAATACTGTTGGCAGGATCATTCTTAGAATTAGGGAGCATGTTTCAAACGAGATGTATAATACATTCGAACGTAAAAGATTAGTCAGGATACTGATCACGTGATTTGTCACGTGACTGGTGAGGGAGTGTTTGGGTGTACGTTCTACACTCTCTGTTAGTCAGGTGACTGGTGAGGGAGTGTTTGAGTGTACGTTCTACACTCCCTGTTAGTCAGGTGACTGGTGAGGGAGTGTTTGGGTGTACGTTCTACACTCTCCGTTAGTCAGGTGACTGGTGAGGGAGTGTTTGGGTGTACGTTCTACACTCCATGTTAGTCAGGTGACTGGTGAGGGAGTGTTTGGGTGTACGTTCTACACTCCCTGTTAGTCAGGTGACTGGTGAGGGAGTGTTTGGGTGTACGTTCTACACTCCCTGTTAGTCAGGTGACTGGTGAGGGAGTGTTTGGGTGTACGTTCTACACTCTCTGTTAGTCAGGTGACTGGTGAGGGAGTGTTTGGGTGTACGTTCTACACTCCCTGTTAGTCAGGTGACTGGTGAAGGAGTGTTTGGGTGTACGTTCTACACTCTCCGTTAGTCAGGTGACTGGTGAGGGAGTGTTTGTGTGTACGTTCTACACTCCCTGTTAGTCAGGTGACTGGTGAGGGAGTGTTTGGGTGTACGTTCTACACTCCCTGTTAGTCAGGTGACTGGTGAGGGAGTGTTTGGGTGTACGTTCTACACTCTCTGTTAGTCAGGTGACTGGTGAGGGAGTGTTTGGGTGTACGTTCTACACTCCCTGTTAGTCAGGTGACTGGTGAGGGAGTGTTTGGGTGTACGTTCTACACTCCCTGTTAGTCAGGTGACTGGTGAGGGAGTGTTTGGGTGTACGTTCTACACTCCCTGTTAGTCAGGTGACTGGTGAGGGAGTGTTTGTGTGTACGTTCTACACTCCCTGTTAGTCAGGTGACTGGTGAGGGAGTGTTTGGGTGTACGTTCTACACTCCCTGTTAGTCAGGTGACTGGTGAGGGAGTGTTTGGGTGTACGTTCTACACTCCCTGTTAGTCAGGTGACTGGTGAGGGAGTGTTTGTGTGTACGTTCTACACTCCCTGTTAGTCAGGTGACTGGTGAGGGAGTGTTTGGGTGTACGTTCTACACTCCCTGTTAGTCAGGTGACTGGTGAGGGAGTGTTTGGGTGTACGTTCTACACTCCCTGTTAGTCAGGTGACTGGTGAGGGAGTGTTTGGGTGTACGTTCTACACTCCCTGTTAGTCAGGTGACTGGTGAGGGAGTGTTTGTGTGTACGTTCTACACTCCCTAGCAGTTAGGTGACTGGCGAGGGAGTGTTTGGGTGTACGTTCTACACTCCCTGTTAGTCAGGTGACTGGTGAGGGAGTGTTTGAGTGTACGTTCTACACTCCCTGTTAGTCAGGTGACTGGTGAGGGAGTGTTTGGGTGTACGTTTTACACTCCCTGTTAGTCAGGTGACTGGTGAGGGAGTGTTTGTGTGTACGTTCTACACTCCCTGTTGGCTGTTAGTCAGGTGACTGGTGAGGGAGTGTTTGGGTGCACGTTCTACACTCTCTGTTAGTCAGGTGACTGGTGAGGGAGTGTTTGTGTGTACGTTCTACACTCCCTGTTGGCTGTTAGTCAGGTGACTGGTGAGGGAGTGTTTGAGTGTACGTTCTACACTCCCTGTTAGTCAGGTGACTGGTGAGGGAGTGTTTGGGTGTACGTTCTACACTCCCTGTTAGTCAGGTGACTGGTGAGGGAGTGTTTGGGTGTACGTTCTAGTTTCTACACTCCCTGTTAGTCAGGTGACTGGTGAGGGAGTGTTTGTGTGTACGTTCTACACTCTCTGTTAGTCAGGTGACTGGTTAGGGAGTGTTTGGGTGTACGTTCTACACTCCCTGCTAGTCAGGTGACTGGTGAGGGAGTGTTTGGGTGTACGTTCTACACTCCCTGCTAGTCAGGTGACTGGTGAGGGAGTGTTTGGGTGTACGTTCTACACTCCCTGCTAGTCAGGTGACTGGTGAGGGAGTGTTTGTGTGTACGTTCTACACTCCCTGTTAGTCAGGTGACTGGTGAGGGAGTGTTTGAGTGTACGTTCTACACTCCCTGTTAGTCAGGTGACTGGTGAGGGAGTGTTTGTGTGTACGTTCTACACTCCCTGTTAGTCAGGTGACTGGTGAGGGAGTGTTTGAGTGTACGTTCTACACTCCCTGTTAGTCAGGTGACTGGTGAGGGAGTGTTTGTGTGTACGTTCTACACTCCCTGCTAGTCAGGTGACTGGTGAGGGAGTGTTTGGGTGTACGTTCTACACTCCCTGTTAGTCAGGTGACTGGTGAGGGAGTGTTTGTGTGTACGTTCTACACTCCCTGTTGGCTGTTAGTCAGGTGACTGGTGAGGGAGTGTTTGGGTGTACGTTCTACACTCCCTGTTAGTCAGGTGACTGGTGAGGGAGTGTTTGTGTGTACGTTCTACACTCCCTGTTGGCTGTTAGTCAGGTGACTGGTGAGGGAGTGTTTGGGTGTACGTTCTACACTCTCTGTTAGTCAGGTGACTGGTGAGGGAGTGTTTGTGTGTACGTTCTACACTCCCTGTTGGCTGTTAGTCCGGTGACTGGTGAGGGAGTGTTTGTGTGTACGTTCTACACTCCTTGTTAGTCAGGTGACTGGTGAGGGAGTGTTTGTGTGTACGTTCTACACTCCCTGTTGGCTGTTAGTCAGGTGACTGGTGAGGGAGTGTTTGAGTGTACGTTCTACACTCCCTGTTAGTCAGGTGACTGGTGAGGGAGTGTTTGTGTGTACGTTCTACACTCCCTGTTAGTCAGGTGACTGGTGAGGGAGTGTTTGAGTGTACGTTCTACACTCCCTGTTAGTCAGGTGACTGGTGAGGGAGTGTTTGTGTGTACGTTCTACACTCCCTGTTAGTCAGGTGACTGGTGAGGGAGTGTTTGTGTGTACGTTCTACACTCCCTGTTGGCTGTTAGTCAGGTGACTGGTGAGGGAGTGTTTGTGTGTACGTTCTACACTCCCTGTTAGTCAGGTGACTGGTGAGGGAGTGTTTGTGTGTACGTTCTACACTCCCTGTTAGTCAGGTGACTGGTGAGGGAGTGTTTGGGTGTACGTTCTACACTCCCTGCTAGTCAGGTGACTGGTGAGGGAGTGTTTGTGTGTACGTTCTACACTCCCTGTTAGTCAGGTGACTGGTGAGGGAGTGTTTGGGTGTACGTTCTACACTCCCTGGCAGTCAAACATCAATATCATGTTGACATCAAATTAATCGAACTTGTTATGACTTGGTCGAGAATGAGAATCTAATGAGTAAGTGGTACCCAACAATCACATCAAATTAGTAGGAGCTAACCATTATTAGCGAACATGATCACACTGAGGGTGTATTCTGAAAACAAGCTGCTTCAACCAAATAACTTATAACTACAACGCGTGCCGATAAGAAACACAAGTACTGAGAGAGAGAGAGAGAGAGAGAGTACACGAGAGGAAAAAAAAGGGAAGGTCTAAACGTAACGCAGCACAGGAGGGTAGAGGGTGAGTTGACACAGCAACTCTAATACTGAAGCCATGTAATGACATCTCTACTATCACAAACCGTGTTCCGTCATCAGCTCACACCTAATATCATAATAATATGCACGACACTAAAAAGGTAACAACTAAGTAAGATCCCGGGATTTGTCACTAGGTATTTGTCACTTTTTAAGTGTGGTTGTATGTTGTGATATAATAATATGTTACTTACTTCTGAGTCTGCGAGACCGAAATCGAGCCCATCTAAGACTCATGGTATGACAGTCACGACTCCATTCACGGTTCCTTGCTATGTGATAGTATCGGTTAGAGTGTGTTGGTATAAAAACTGGCTACAGAATGGAATTTAATTAATCAAGATGTTCAGTAAAGAACGTGGTACGTCAGAAGGGTAAAACCAAATGATATATTGGGGGGGGTCCAACCCGATCATTCCGATCATTCCGATTCCGATTTTGGCCTCATCAACCCTCATATCGGAAAAATCGGGAAAATTTAAATCTTTCCTCTGAGGTTTCTAGGCGATATAGGTAGCTATTTCTGTACTTAAATATGACAAGAAATCGATTGGTGGTGGTCCCAGAACCCCAAAATGGTTTCTAGTTCCAAACAAGAATCGTTTCGTCCGAAAAACAACACACTGTCGTATCAACTCTTGTTTGACAGAAACATCCACCCCGGTCCACAATTGAAAGAGGTACGGTTGGTAATAGCAATCGTAACAAATAGAGAACGCTTTAGTAACTTTTGATTTAAATTGTCTCCACAATTTGTAACAGGCTATCTGCAGAAATGGGTAGCACGGTTAATGACCATTGACCGTGCTACCCATTTCAAGAGGAGGACTGAGGACGGGGAGGAGGAGGACTAAGAGAACGCGAGGGCTAAGGACGACGAGGACTGAGGAGGAGGACGAGAGCGAGGACGAGGACTGAGGAGGAGGACTGATAAGAAGGAGGAGGAGGACTGAGGATGACGAGGAGGAGAAGGAGGACTGGGGGAGGACTGATGAGGAGGAAGAGGACTGAGGAGGAGGACTGAGGACTGAGGAGAAGGAGGACTGAGGAGGACAGAGGAGGACCAGGACCAGGACTAGGAGGATGAGGACGAGGACTAAGGACAAGGACTTGGAGGATGAGGACGAGGACTAAGGACGATGAGGATGAGGACGATGACTAAGGACGAGGAGGAGGACGACTGAGGAGGAGGACTGATTAGGAGGAGAAGGAAGAGGAGAAGGAGAAGGAGGGTGAGGAGGAGAACTGAGGAGGAGGAGGAGGAGAAGGAGGAAAACTGAGGAGAAAGAGGAGGACTGGGGAGGACTGAGGAGGAGGAGAAGGACCGAGGAGGACTGAGGAGGAGGAGGACTGAGGAGGAGGAGGACTGAAGAGGAGAGGGAGGACTGAGGAAGAGGAGCAGCTGATTGGTGAGGAGGAGGAAGACTAAGGACGAGGAGGACTGAGGAGGAGGACGAGAGCGAGGACGAGGAGGAAGACTGAGGAGGAGGACTGATAAGAAGGAGAAGGACGAGGACGAGGACTGAGGAGGAGGACTGATGATGAAGAGGAGAAGGAGGACTGGGGGAGGACTGAGGAAGAGGAGGACTTAGGGAGGACTGAGGAGGAGGACTGAGGGAGGACTGAGGAGGATGATGAGGAGGAGGACTGAGGATGAGAAGGAGGAGAAGGAGGACTGGCGGAGGACTGATGAGGAGGTGGACTGGGGGAGGACTGAGGAGGAGGAGGACTTAGGAGTAGGAGGAGAAGGAGGAGAAGGAGGAAAAGGAGGAGAAGGAGGAGGAGGACTGAGGAGGAGGAGGAGGAGGACTTAGGAGTAGGAGGAGAAGAAGGAGAAGGAGAAGGAGGACTGAGGAAGAGGAGGAGGAGGACTGAGGAGGAGGAGGAGGACGAGGAGGATGAGGAGGATGAGGACGAGGAGGAGGAGGAGGAGGACTGACGAGTAGGAGGAGGACTGGGGACTGAAGAGGAGGAAGACTGAGGAGGAAGAAGATGAGAGCTGAGGAAGAGGACTGAAGAGGATGAGGAGGATGAGGAAGAGGAGGAGGACTGAGGAGTAGGACTGAGGAAGAGGAGGAGGACTAAGGAGAAGGATGAGGAGGATGAGACTCATGAGGAGGAGGAGGAGGACTGAGGAGAAAGACTAAGGAGGACGAGGACTAAGGAGGACTGAGGAGAAAGACTAAGGAGGACTGAGGAGGAGGAGGATAAGGAGGAGAATGTGGAGGAGGAGGAGGATGACTCAGGAGGTGGAGGAGGATAAGGAGAAGGACTCATGAGGAGGACTGAAGAGGAGGAGGAGGACTGATGAGGAGGAGGAGGAGGAGGACTGAGGACGGGGAGGAGGAGGAGGACGAGAGCGAGGACGAGGAGGAGGACTGAGGAAGAGGACTGATAAGAAGGAGAAGGAGGAGGAGGAGGACTGAGGAGGAGGAATGAGGATGAGGATAAGGAGAAGGAGGACTGGGGGAGGACCGAGGAAGAGGAGGACTTGGGGAGGACTGAGGAGGAGGATGACTGGGGGAGGACTGAGTAGGACGATGAGGAGGAGGACTGACGATGATGAGGAAAAGGAGGACCGGGGGAGGACTGATGAGGAGGAGGACTGGGGAAGGACTGAGGAGGAGGACTTAGGAGTAGGAGGAGAAGGAGGAAAAGGAGGAGAAATAGGAGGAGGAGAAGAAAGAGGAGGACTGAGGTCCTGAGGAGGAGGACTTATGAGTAGGAGGAGAATGAGGAGAAGGAGAAGGAGGACTGAAGAGGAGGAGGAGGAGGACTGACGAGGAGGAGAAGGACTGGGGACTGAAGAGGAGGAAGACTGAGGAGGAAGAAGATGAGAGCTGAGGAAGAGGACTGAAGAGGATGAGGAAGAGGAGGAGGACTGAGGAGTAGGACTGAGGAAGAGGAGGAGGACTAAGGAGAAGGATGAGGAGGATGAGACTCATGAGGGGGAGGAGGAGGACTGAGGAGAAAGACTAAGGAGGACGAGGACTAAGGACGAGGACTAGGAGGATGAGGACAAGGGTTAAGGAAGAGGAGGAGGACGACTGAGGAGGAGGACTGATTAGGAGAAGAAGGAAGAGGAGGATGAGGAGGAGGACTGAGGAGGATGAGGAGGATAAGGAGGAGAATGAGGAGGAGCATGAGGAGGACTGAGGAGGAGGAGGATAAGGAGGAGAATGTGGAGGAGGAGGAGGATGACTCAGGAGGTGGAGGAGGATAAGGAGAAGGACTCATGAGGAGGACTGAAGAGGAGGAGGAGGACTGATGAGGAGGAGGAGGAGGAGGACTGAGGACGGGGAGGAGGAGGAGGACGAGAGCGAGGACGAGGAGGAGGACTGAGGAAGAGGACTGATAAGAAGGAGAAGGAGGAGGAGGAGGACTGAGGAGGAGGAATGAGGATGAGGATAAGGAGAAGGAGGACTGGGGGAGGACTGAGGAAGAGGAGGACTTGGGGAGGACTGAGGAGGAGGATGACTGGGGGAGGACTGAGTAGGACGATGAGGAGGAGGACCTACCTTACCTTGGGTACCTTGGGTTCGTTTCGGGCTAGCACGCCCAGGCCAAGACATCTTGCGTCTCCACCACCGGTGTCTCCGTTATCATGTCTTGCTCACAGCCCATTCCAAGATTGAATTGCCATTTGCCCCTGTATATCCAGGGGTAGGAGGGGTGTCGGGGACGGTATGGAGAAAGCGATCAAGTGCTGCCTTGAATTTTGGCAAGGTTGGGATAGACTTGATGTCGTGAGGCACAACGTTATACAAAGCAGAGGCCACTGAAGGGAAAGAATGGAACCTCATGGTGTTGATGCTTTTGTATTTTGATCCGCCAAGAGGACGAAGACATGTAACTCCTCTTCTTTGAGAGTGTTGGAAAGAAATGTTTACACTGTTGGGAATCTCACCGTAGTAAATTTTCCAGACAAGGATGATCATGTACCTCTCGCGGCGGCGCTGTAGGGAGTAGAGATCAAGCTGCTTCAGGCGCTCCCAGTAGCTAAGATGCTTGTATCCTGCTATTTTCGCAGTGAATGAGCGTTGGATCGACTCAATCATGATTATGTCACACTGCAGGTGAGGCGACCAGAGAGCACAACAATACTCGGCAATAGAGCGGACGTATGTCTTGAAGAGCATCATCATCGTGTCTTTGTCTCTGGTAGAGAAAGTTCTCAGTACCCATCCAGCTTTGCTCGCTGCCTCAGAGGACTTTCTTGTGATGTGTTGACGCCAGGAGAGATCACTGTCAACATACACACCGAGATCTTTCACGACATCATCAGAAGATATCGATGCACCAGATGGTAAAATGTAGGGTTTCTTTAGCTCAGGGTTCTTACCATGCTGGAGAAGTTGGAACTTACTTTCGTTTAGCTCCATGTTGTTTGCTACTGCCCATCGCACTACTGCACAGAGATCTTCCTGGAGACATTTGCAGTCGGACGGGGAGCTAATGTTTTTGTGGAGCTTGGAGTCATCAGCAAACACTTTTACTTGAGGATGATGAGGAAAAGGAGGACCGGGGGAGGACTGATGAGGAGGAGGACTGGGGAAGGACTGAGGAGGAGGACTTAGGAGTAGGAGGAGAAGGAGGAAAAGGAGGAGAAATAGGAGGAGGAGAAGGAAGAGGAGGACTGAGGTCCTGAAGAGGAGGACTTATGAGTAGGAGGAGAATGAGGAGAAGGAGAAGAAGGACTGAAGAGGAGGAGGAGGAGGACTGACGAGGAGGAGAAGGACTGGGGACTGAAGAGGAGGAAGACTGAGGAGGAAGAAGATGAGAGCTGAGGAAGAGGACTGAAGAGGATGAGGAAGAGGAGGAGGACTGAGGAGTAGGACTGAGGAAGAGGAGGAGGACTAAGGAGAAGGATGAGGAGGATGAGACTCATGAGGGGGAGGAGGAGGACTGAGGAGAAAGACTAAGGAGGACGAGGACTAAGGACGAGGACTAGGAGGATGAGGACAAGGGTTAAGGAAGAGGAGGAGGACGACTGAGGAGGAGGACTGATTAGGAGAAGAAGGAAGAGGAGGATGAGGAGGAGGACTGAGGAGGATGAGGAGGATAAGGAGGAGAATGAGGAGGAGCATGAGGAGGACTGAGGAGGAGGAGGATAAGGAGGAGAATGTGGAGGAGGAGGAGGATGACTCAGGAGGTGGAGGAGGATAAGGAGAAGGACTCATGAGGAGGACTGAAGAGGAGGAGGAGGACTGATGAGGAGGGGGAGGAGGAGGACTGAGGACGGGGAGGAGGAGGAGGAGGACGAGAGCGAGGACGAGGAGGAGGACTGAGGAAGAGGACTGAGGAAGAGGACTGATAAGAAGGAGAAGGAGGAGGAGGAGGACTGAGGAGGAGGAATGAGGATGAGGATAAGGAGAAGGAGGACTGGGGGAGGACTGAGGAAGAGGAGGACTTGGGGAGGACTGAGGAGGAGGATGACTGGGGGAGGACTGAGTAGGACGATGAGGAGGAGGACTGAGGATGATGAGGAAAAGGAGGACCGGGGGAGGACTGATGAGGAGGAGGACTGGGGAAGGACTGAGGAGGAGGACTTAGGAGTAGGAGGAGAAGGAGGAAAAGGAGGAGAAATAGGAGGAGGAGAAGGAAGAGGAGGACTGAGGAGGAGGACTTATGAGTAGGAGGAGAATGAGGAGAAGGAGAAGGAGGACTGAAGAGGAGGAGGAGGAGGACTGAAGAGGAGGAGAAGGACTGACGAGGAGGACTGATGAGGATGAGGAGGACTCAGGAGGAGGAAGAGGAGGAGGAAGAGGACTAAGGACGAGGACGACTAGTGTAGGACTGAGGATGAGGACTGATGAGGAGAAGGAGGAGGAGGACTGAGGAGGACGATGAGGAGGAGGAGACTGAGGAGGAGGAGGAGGACTGTTGAGGAAGAGGAGGAGGATGATGAGGAAGAGGACTGAAGAGGAAGACTGAGGAGGACGAGGACGAGGACTAAGGACGAGGAGGAGGAGGACTGATTAGGAGAAGAAGAAAGCGGAGAAGGAGGAGGAGGATGAGGCTTGGAGGAGAAGGAGGAGAATGAGGAGGAGGACTGGGGGAGGACTGAGGAGGAGGATAAGGAGGACTAAGGATGATGATGAGGACGATTATGAGGAGGACAGAGGATGAGGACTGATGAGGAGGAGAAGGAGGAGGATGAGGTGGAGGAGGTCTGGGGAGGACTGAGGAGGAAGAGGAGGATGACTGAGGAGGAGGATGAGGAGGAGGACTCAAAATGAGGGCTCAGGAGGTGGAGGAGGACGAGGAGGAGGACTCAGGAGGAGGAGGACGACTATGAGGAGGACTCAGGAGGACTGATGAGGAGGAGAAGGAGGAGGAGGATGAGTAGGAGAAATGAGGAGGAGGAGGAGGAGAAGGAGGAGGACTGGGAGTAGGACTGAGGAGGAGGAGGGGACTGAGGAGCAGGGTGAGGAGGACTGAGGAGAAGGACGAGGACGAGGACGAGGAGTCAGGAAGAGGACTGAAGAGAACTGAGGAGGAGGAGGACTCAGGAGGAGGAGGAAGACTTAAGAGGAGGAGGAGGACTGATGAGAAGGAGGAGGAGTTGTCTGTTTTTGTTCGCCCTACTTTTTGTCCGTTTTGAAAATATAGGGTCACAAAACATGATCCCCCAGCCAAGCATGTGTTACAAAACATGATCCCCCAGCCAAGCATGTGTTACGATACAAATGTACTTGACTATACATTTAAGGTGCAGTGTAATAGTGATATTATGGTATGTTTAAAGACCGGACCACAAAATATAACCCGGTACCTAGTGTTGTACTAATACATAATAACAAGTAACAGGGATAAAATTAATGAGCAGAAACAATCAATCTCACGTTAAAAGGCCAAAGCACTCGGGTCTGGGAGTACATGACAACTCCAACTAGTAGTGAGCATACTAGCGCCCCTGCAGTGGAAAAACACATAAAACATACTATTGGAATGTCCAATTGGTTCGTTTTCTCATAACAATATAGCATATGGAGGGGTTCTGGTTGAATTATATCACTTCTGAGAGGTTTTAGAGATCGATTCTGTTAATTTCTCAATTTTCCGATTTTTCCGATTCCGATTTTGGCCTCATCAACCCTCATATCGGACATCGGGTTGGACCCCCCCATATATTGTAATATGTAATGACATGGAGTCTGGCATTCCTTTACTGTTGTTATACAGTATAATACACCGTTATAATAGTAATAATTGGTCAGTAATTAGAGATCAAAGTATGTCAGATTGGTTACTTGTGAGGGAAACACGATTAAAATGTGGGAATTAATAAATAAAAAATAAAACCTAATAATTTAATACACATCTACAGGCTATTCTCCAGATCTCAACAATCATTATTATTCTCAATCTTATCTCAAGAAAACCCACTCCTCTTTCACACAAACAAATAAATAAATGCTCATACAAACGTAATAAATGAGACTTCAATTCGAAATAAATTATACCAACTCCGATTCATAGGGTCAACACAAATCTGAGCTGTGATTCCGGGACACAAATATAAGATGTGATGGATTCCGGGACACAAATATAAGCTGTGATGGATTCCGGGACACAAATCTAAACTGCGATGGATTCCGGGACACAAATATAAGCTGTGATGGATTCCGGGACACAAATATAAGCTGTGATGGATTCCGGGACACAAATCTAAACTGCGATGGATTCCGGGACACAAATATGAGCTGTGATGGATTCCGGGACACAACTCTAAGCTGTGATGGATTCCGGGACACAAATCTAAGCTGTGATGGATTTCAGGAATATGAAACAGAATTGACTAACACTGTAATCCAATTCGGCTAAACATGATAAAGCATCATTACGAGTTTCTAATCTTTTGAAGAGTATCAGCATATTGAAACTGGTGTTCGGTTTCACTCTCATTCATATCGAGTGCAATCTCACAACTCTGTTTCACCATCAGATCAGTGTCAGTCAGATGTTTGGCGAGAATCTCCTTACACCGGGGATCATCTACTGCGCCCAGTGCCTCTGCAGCTTCATGTCTTACCATTGGGTCATCTGACATGTCTCTCAGTTTCTGAGACAAACCCTCAACAGCATGTGTGTCAGCCATTTGGCCCAAAACATATGCCACTTCGTGTCTAAATAAGGCGCTATCATCACAATCAAGTCCTTTAACCAAAGCATCGATTGACTCTGGCGTGGAGAGATTCCTCAGTGAAAACATCGCCCGATATCTATCAAATAGTGTCCGTTCAGAATCTAACAAAATGTCAGCCAACTCTTTGCAGGTTTTGTTCTGATTGAAAGCAGGAGCTGGATCAACAGATGTAAAAGGGGAATCAGGTCCTGATTTCTCGCTGTTGACATGTTTTATTCTCATAACAGCAAGCTCGCATGTTTGTCTCAATACCTTGCTCTCGTGATCCAAGTATTTATTCAACAAAGGTAACGAATCCATCTGACCTAAAGCACCAATAGCTTCCCCAGCTTCATGTCTCACTATTATTGCCTCATTTGTGTCTTCTAACACCTCCCCAAGTTTTGGTAAAGCAGTAAGATCCTGCATTTGCCCCAGGCAAAACGCCAGCTCGTGCTTTAAAAGCTCAGACGGATCTTTAAACGTCTCACAAATTATATTGACTGCATCAGGGCCGTTTATACTCATCAGAGTAAATAGAGCCCTGAATCTCTCCGCCAGAGAAGCATTAGAGTTGAGTAATATTTTACCAACTTTTTGAAGTTCTGCTTCAGTTACAGTTCCAGGTTCCATGTCGGTAACTTTAAACTTCCTGTCAAGATATTAATGTAAAATTGTTTGGCTACGGTAATGATATGACTACCATAATGATAGAGATAAAGCTATTTAACAACTTTAATTCTAGAATGTTTTCTTGAAAGTTAATTTCTGCATCTCAAAGTTTAGTTCTATCGACATTGAATTTATAAAATAGACTCTTCAAGTATTGATGCTCTAACAGTTTTTATACTTTTACTGTGCTAAGTCAATTAAATAGAGAAGCCAACGTGTCTTTGCAGGCTAGCAACCATCAATAAATTAATAACAAAGTAGTTGTATAATATCATGTACCTGTCAACAGTCAATAAGTTAATATCATGTATTTAAATTAAAGTACCAAAACTCTTTAAATAAGAAAAGAAGTTCTACAAAATACCCCAAGCTTGCTCGAAAGCATCACACAACTTAGTGCATGTTAGTGCTGCCGAAAGTGGGTAATTACTAATACCAACATTTTCTTCTGAGTACTCAACATTAACTGAGCCATGAGCTTGGGCCCCAATTACCATGACACAAGGCTCATCTGTCACTAATTCTATGGGTCTGACACATCTAGGAGCATTGTATGTCATGCAGTATTTCCTACAACCCGGTGGGAAATGGTCTGATACTGGATTCTTTATAACTTTCAGAAGTTTTTGTGGCCCATCAGCAGCATGAATACTTAGCTTATGAAGAAGCTGAACCATCAGTCCACAAAACCTATCAAATGTCCTAGGAATTCGAGTAGATGGACTGACTTCAATTAAGACATTACGCTCTGTGTGAATGTAAACTTGCAACTTTCCAGCTCTATTTAAGGGACTATCTAGAAGCATGAGTAAACATTGATGAGTAATGTCCGGTCGAGCAACTGTCTTTCGATCTTTCTGAATTCCTTTTTCTTTCTTTTGCCGATCAGCTGTCAGCAACTGGAAAACTTTCCCAACTTTGATGGTTTCCAATGAAGCATTTTCTAAAACAACAATTAATCTTTTCTCAGATGAATTCTTTTTTGCAATCTTTGCCGGATGTTGATTAACATCTTCATCTGAACTGTCTGCCATACTGCACTAATAAACTACTGAAAATATAAAATTATGGTTAAATTGACATATTTTTCGAAGATAAAAATCCGTACTCTTGCATACAAGGAATACAAGGAATACAAGGAATACAAATTTAAAATCTTGAGCTACAATAGTAACTGTTAAGATAATAACAATATCATAAGATTTGAATTTATTATATTAATATAACTTAACTAAAGTGAAAAATAAAGATTTGACATAAAATATTTTGTTTTCAGTCGCCTTGGTAATGCTGTAATGCTTGAGCCAGGTCACTTTGCAGTTTGCACTCGTCGTTGCGCGAAAAGAAACAAAAGCGGGTACAGTGATTTTCAGTGTTCACTGTTCATGTACTGGCCAGAGAGTCAACAAATTTCTTGCGGTTGTTAAAACACGTAGTGGCAAACCTAGCAAGGACTCTCGTGAGGTGGACTTGACTTTCGTTTGTGATAAGTTCAATGATTTCACTGTTGTTGCTGATGAATTTGAGGACGTTTGCTCCAGGGATGACATTGTGAACAGAATAAGATGTCGCAGACGGTTTGATTGGATTTGATATGAGTGACTGGATCTTGTCTAGGACTTTTCGCCTCGATGCAGCGTTAAGATCACAATGGTTAAGGAAGTGGTCTTCACTCTTCATTCTCAATAATACCAGAACCTAAGACTATATTGCACCAGGAGCATATTCGCTCGTCACGTGGAGTTTGATTATATCGGCCAAGTTCAATTTCGAGTCGATGTGCACTGATCCGCAGTCTTGTGATATTAGCACGGTCTGCATATTTAATGACACTATCTAGGTAATACTCTTTGTTAAATTTGGATTTTAGGTCACGATAGAATTCTAATTTCCGAGAAGTGTTGATACAGGACCCCCAATATTCTCTAAAGTTACATTTCAAAGTTTTAGTAATGGCGTGTGGTGTGAATATTTTACTCCCGATGGGTTGTGTAATGTGTTGATTGAGGAGGAATTCGTTTCTTGAAACCGTTGTGAATAAGAAAGTCCTCTTTTGGTGGTTTTGCGATACTCGGGTTTCTTTCGAAAAGTAACTTGGAGTGATTGTTTTTGAGTGTGCGGTAGGCTGTGACATGATCGGTAGAGAAACATGGGTCTAGCGCGAGGACAGGCTCCAAACCCCTGTACCAGTCCAATTTCATGTTCATCTGTTCTTTGAAAGCTAAGGAGACAAGGGAGTTATCTTTGAGATTTTTCAAACGTTGGCTATATTTGAGAGTGAGGTTAATACATTCATAGATTAATGGGTAGCGGCCTGACTCACCCCAGACGCCTGCGTTGCTGGCTTTACGATTTACCCCCAGTGACCATTTAAGAAAGTGAAGGTGAACTTTTTCGCTGTTCAGAAGGCTAATTTTCTTGCTCAGGATACTAGTTTGAAATTTTGTTTTTGTGTCGGCATCCATATTGAGATCGACTTGTTTTGTTATGTGTTTTATGATAGCCATGTTAGGTGTGTAAATAGGCGCTCCGTAAAGAACGATAGGTTTAATAAGACCATCAAAGAGTGTTGTTAGAGAGCGGAATGATAATTTGGATTTGTTTACTGAGCTTTTCATGGCATAAAGTGCACGCATGGCTTTCTTTTTGAGCTCAGTTCGGGCATTTGTGAATGTGCCGGATTTGTGTATTTCGATTCCTAGATAGCAGTATGACTCGACTTCTTCTAACAAGTGATCACCAATTTTGAGGGGAACCGGCTGATAAGTATCAAAACGGGCATTAAATTTCATGAGTTTAGTTTTATCTGCATTAATTTCGACGCCCCATTCCAAGCAGAAATTGTTCAAAGCATCGAGTTGCTTTTGGAGGGTTTTGGGGTCCAGTGCCAAGAGTATCAGATCATCTGCCCATAGTAAGTGACTGATAAGTTGGTTCATTAGTTTCGGACAGTTATCATATTCTAGTCGAGGGGAAAGATCTCTGATGTATATCTTAAATAGATCAGGGGAAAGTGGATGACCCTGTTCAGTTCCTTTATTGATATCAAATTTTTCGCTGACAAATCCAGATAGTTTTATCTGGCCAGTGGAATTTTTATACATATGTTTAAGAACATTAAATGTTTTGCCAGTGATACCTAGTTTAGCTAATTTTAAGAAAAGAGCTTCACGGCAAACAGAGTCGAAGGCCTTCCGGAAGTCCACAAAAACAGCATAGACGGGAACCTTGAGCTTTTTGTATTTAGACGTAATGGTGTTGAGTGTGAGTATGTGGTCATATGTTTGAGCTCCTTTAGCGAAGCCAAGTTGATTTATGGGGTCCGGGTTGTATTCATTTTTGAACTTGAATATCCTGTTTAACATGATGGTCGAAAATAGTTTTCCGATTGTACTACTGAGAGCAACTGCTCTGTAATTGTCTGGATTATCTTTGTCGCCTTTTTTGTGTAGGGGTGTAATAATGCTGTTGTTCCATGGGTAAGTTCCAGTGTCCAAACAGCGGTTAAAGACTTTGCAAAGGAGTTGTGTGTTTGTTGTGGACAAGGTCTTCAGTATTTCATTACATATCATATCCTCCGAGGAACTTTTGCCGTTTTTGAGTGAAGAGATCGCAGTAGATATTTCGTCCACAGAGATCTGGCCATTGAGTATTGATTGTGCAGGGGATGGTTGGAAATTATTGTTAATAGCCTCTGCATTTTGAAGCATTTCTTCCTTATTCTCTACAGTTATGGTGCTATGTGCATTGGCATAAAGTTTACCAAAGAATTTTTGAAAGTTGTCCATGTCATGGCAATCAAATTTGTCAACTCTTCCTTTAAATTTTTTCAGTTTTTTGAATTGTTTCCAGTTAAGAATTTTACCAGATTCAATATCTGTATTCAATTTGACAAGATATTTGTTTTTTGTACGGTCAATTAAACTTTTGTACGTATTTTTTACTTGGTAAAAATTTTTTCGAAGATAATCGCTATTGGGGAAATCAGAAACAATTTGAGCTGCACGAGTACAAGATATTTTAGCTTCTCTGGTGGCTTGTGTGAACCAGGGTTGTTTATTTATTGATCCCTTTTTGGTTATTTTGGGATGTTTACAGTGCAATGTACATTTAGCATTATATACATTTCCCATCTGCACAGTGCACACGCAACTAGCTAATGTGCAAAACGTGCGGACAATCTTCTTTGATCTAGCCACACACTAGTTATAGTTAAAGTTGACGGATTAAACTATTAAATTTTCTTGTTCTTGTGCCATATTTTAATCAAAGCTTATAGGTTGTTTTCACATTACATATTCACTGAGGAGACAGAGAGGGTTTCTAAATTGTTACGCCCATTTTGTTTTAAAATAATAGCTATTAGTATATGTGTAAAACTGATTACGGAGGAGAGGGGGTTAAAAATTAGCCAAAATATAATACCAGAACATGTGAACAACCTTTTAAAATCTCTTACAGTTTAGATCCTATAAAATATCCTGCACTAAAACAATCTGCGACGAATATGTACTATCCATTACTAGAGTCAAGGAACCCTCAAATGATAATAATAAGAAAACAAAAATTTCAAGAAAACAACAATTTTATTTAGTATCAATTAAAGCAGACAAAAATATATTTCATAGGGGGGGGGGGTGTCATGTCCGTCTATGTCCGCCTATGTCCTGTCCTTTTTGGATTCTATGAGACAACGGACGTGTTTTTTGGGACATTGGCGGACACGGACGGACATTGGCGGACTCGGACGGACATTGGCGGACTCGGACGGACATTGGCGGACTCGGACGGACATTGGCGGACTCGGACGGACATTGGAGGACTTGGACGGACATTGGCGGACCCGGACGGACATTGGCGGACTTGGATGGACATTGGTGGACATTAGCGGACATTGGTGGACATTAGGGGACAAACATTTTGAGGACTGAAGAGTACTGAAGAGTACTGAAGAGTACTGAAGAGTACTGAAGAGTACTGAAGAGTACTGAAGAGTACTGAGGAGGATGGCTGAGAAGGATGGCTGAGGAGTGAGGAGGATGGCTGAGGAGGATGACTGAGGAGGATGGCTGAGAGGGAGGAGAAGGATCAGGAAGACCCAGGAGGAGGAGGAGGAGGACCCAGAAGGAGGACCTAGGAGGAGGAGGAGGAGAACTGAGGAGGATGACTGAGGAGGAGGAGGACTCAGGAGGAGGACTGAGGAGGACTGAGAAGGAGGAGGACTGAGGAGGATGGCTGAGGAGGATGGCTGAGGAGGATGACTGAGAGGGAGGAGGAGGAGGAAGAGGAGGCAGAGGACTGAGGAGGAGGAGGAGAAGGACTGAGGAGGAGAAGGAGGACCCAGGAGGAGGAGGACCCAGGAGGAGGAGGACCCAGGAAAAGGCCTCAGGAGGAGGAGAAGGACTGGGGAGGAGGAGAACTGTTGAGGACTGATGAGGAGGACTGAGGACGAGGAGGAAGAGTAGGAGGAGGACTGAGGAGGGGAGGAGGAAGAGGACTGGGGAGGATCAGGAAGACCAAGGAGGACCCAGGAGTAGGAGGAGGAGGAGGACCCAGGAGGAGGAGGAGGACTGAGGAGGACTGAGGAGGAGGACTGACGATGACTGAGAAGGAGGAGGACCGAGGAGTACTGAGGAGGATGGCCGGGGAGGATGGCTGAGGAGGATGACTGAGGAGGAAGACTGAGAGGGAGGAGGAGGAGGACTCAGTAGGAGGACTCAGAAGGAAGAGGAGGAGGACTCAGGAGGAGGACTCAGGAGGAGAAATGAGAAGGAGGACTGGGGAGAACTGAGGAGGAGGAGGAGGAGGACTGAATAGGAGGAGGAGAAGGAGGGGGACTGGGAGAGGACTGGTGAGGAGGAGGACTGATGAGAAGGATGAGGAGGAGGACCCAGGAGGAGGAGGACTGAGGACCGAGGAGGACTGAGGACCGAGGAGGACTGAGGACCGAGGAGGAAGAGGAGGAGGAGGACCCAGGAGGAGGAGGACTGAGGAGGAGGACTGAGGAGGACTGAGGAGGATGGCTGAGGAGGATGACTGAGAGGGAAGAGGAGGAGGAGGAG